TATTGAACTCAAAAATTGTATCCATTTTATATTATAAAAATATATCGTACATTGTTTAAACTACATTCTTTTGTATCTTGTTTTCATATTCTGAGTCTGTTTGGTAAATAATTGCTTACATTTTGTTCTAAGCGGATATCTAAAAACTAAGATGTAGAAATGAAACTTTACAGAAATGTGTTTTTTACATTTGTGAACATCGCTTATAAATTGAAGAAAATTTTGAAATTGTACCATTTATAATTTCTTGAAATTCTGTTTTTAACAATGTACACAAATAATATTTTCTTTCTGTTGCGTTCCTTCGAACGCGCCTCGAGAGGATTTCGAGTAGCAGCGCCTGCTGTTCCGACTACCCTGACGACAGAAATACGTTGCGGGTTGCGGTTGCTCCTGGAAACAGCTGCGTTCAAACTACCTTAGCAGTTCATCGTAGACGAGACATCCGTATAAATAAATTGATTGGTCTTCAAAAATGTATTCGAACTATTTTCGAAAGAGAACAAATTCTTAGTAATTAAAAACGACTCACGGACATGGCACACTACGCTTCTGATTCCAAGTGAATGAAATTACGTCGGAAGACCACGTACAGTAAAACATAATTTAAGGGGTCATCAATAGTTCCGTCAAAAATTGGCCATGAATGCAGGTGGCAACTTCAAAGGGTTTTAGGTTATCGTAATGACTTAACAGGTTGGGGCGTATTATAATGAAATGACTTTTTTCCTCCCTTTTCACTTTAGAATAATGCTGTTTAGTATACAAATTCATTTTATGTTATGACAAAAGGAAATGGCCCACCTTTATAAGTCATTTTTTACATTTTTATGTCAGTTTTGATGCATTTTTCGCTAATATCGTCGATTTTAATATTTTAATGGTTCTGGCTTTAAAACAATATTTATGAGGTGCAACAAATGTTCACAACATAATTCCTGAGTAGCACATTCCATTTCTTCCCTCATATATTGTAATGTCAGCCGTTGTGAGTACTAAGTAATCTCAGGTTCCGGTGCCATTTTCAGTTCACCTGGCTTTGCGATAAGTAGAGGCATAATTGTTATTTTAAAGAACTGTCCGAACCAAAAGTTTGCAATCTGCGTTCACTTGAACAAAAGGAAGAATTCTTGATTACATCAGTACATCAGTAACATAGCGAACAGCATGAGTTGTTCATCTGATGTGGTTGATACATTTCTTACTTTGTAGGGCATTTTTAAACTATTTTAAGAGCATTGTATTGATCATTTTTGGCAATGTTTTTGGTCATCAAAATTGGCCCCCTACGTATCACAAATATTCTTAGCCGACAAACTCACTTCCATTACTTCTAGGTTGTCCGGGTGACGCCGCGTCGTTGGCAGATAGGCCGACGTTTCGCCTGTCATGTCACAGGCTTCTTCAGGGTAGTGACACAGTAAAGCTCCGCCTCCAGTGTTATATCTTATTCAGCTTAGTGGTCGGGTAACGCAAGTGCGCCGTGAACTCACTTTCCGTACTTATTGAATCAAACAAGCAATCTAGACTTGAAGATCCAATTCATATCCTTTAGAAAGTTTACGACAGCGCCGTCTGACGATACAGTGAGCAAATAATCTGTAGATCTGATTCGCAAACGCAACGTGCTTCGTGAGTCCCTAACAAACACACAGAGAACGGAAGCAACCTATAAGAATGCTGTGAAATGGTTGTTTCATTAAATGAGATTCATTAAAACCATCTGTTGTTACCTGAAACAGAAAATGATCTCTCTACGAGATAAGAGGCCCTCGATATTATTCGAAGTAACCTGATAATGCGTTCCGTGGGATATTAAATTAACAGTAATCTCCAACCTCGTTTCCGCTTCTCGTTATTATAACCGTATAGTTCAAAATAGATTTAAAACTGACTGACCGATGGCTTCTGAAAAGAAATGTTTATACTTGTCTTAACGAAAATGCAAGCGTTTCCACGAACCACTTGCCGCTATTGGAGGTGAACACTTTAGTGCGTTGGCCATTTGTGCAAAATTCTTAGTATTTTGACACCTCCAAAAATATTTTCTGAACATAGAGATTTCTTAATTCGAGGGTTACATTATTAACTGCAGAGCTGTTTGACTCGAGATGAGACACTTTGACTCGTCGCTCCAATGTTGTTGATAAATGAAAAATCACTAATGAGACTGATGATTAATCTGAGAATACACATTGCAAACATTTTATTAGATAATAATAACAACAACAATAATAATAATAATTATAATAATAATAATTATAATAATAATAATTATAATAATAATTATTATAATAATAATTATTATTATAATTATTATTATAATAATAATAATTATAATAATAATAATAGTAATAATAATAAATATCTTTGTTGGGTGACAAATCCACTCTGTCCTTTGAAAGCGAATGAAGAGAATGCGACCGAACTCCTTATTGGCTGTAATATATTGATTACGATCCCCAAGTCCGAGATGTGAATTTGCGGCAGCGCACTTCGCTAATTGCAGCTCTTCGCGAGCACCGTTCGCCCACGCGACGCAGCTTAAAGGCGCCTTTATGCAAACACCGCTGCCTACGCCGCCGCCTCCTTTTTCCGCTGCCCGTGCAGCAGCCCCCGCCGCCATCATTCTCAGGGGGCTGTGGATGTCTGCCGCCTACACGGGGCGGGAGACGCCAACCGTACACGTTGGTCTCCGGGGGAGAAAGACGCAAGCTTCGCCGGACTGCTTGGCGGAGACAAATCACGAGAACTCTGTGGACGCTGATAATGGATTACGAAGGCTTTTTGATAATAACGCACCGGACTGAAGTTAAGCGACACGACTAGTGTTGCGTTTTATACGAAAGGAATGTTGTCCATATTGGGTGAATAGTGTTGACGTAGATATGTTTAAGTAAACTGACCTTTCGATTTATGTCATCAAACCTGTTTCTACTTTCCCGCCCTAACGACTGTGATAAGAGAAAGCATTGTAATCGTGCGCCCTAAAACGGCGAATTTTTGACAGAAAAAATGTTAATGCCGGGCTTGGTAGCAAAAAAAAATGGATGATCATGTTCCTATGTTTAGTAAATTACTTCCTCTAAAAGGAAGTGTAGCCAGAATCCATGTTTTGTGGGTCCTTGATGCTGAAAAATTGATTGGTGTCAAAAAGACTGCCTGTATGTATCTGCCGGCCTATCTGCTCGGCTGCTTGTCCATGGTCAACGCTATACCGAAAAAAAAACCGTTGGAGTACCAGATCCTTGATACTGTAATAAGTTTCCTTGTTCGCTAGTGTTCTGTCCTAAGTCCACCTAAAACGTACTGTGAATTTTCTCCAAAATTGATATTTCCGTGCATGTGCGTGTGAGAAGAAAATTAACGTAAAATATATCGATATGTAGTTGTTATATTTAAAAAAAAATGTCCATAACAAAATTCTACAGTAACTTTCAGACATCCATAAATTGAATATTTTTCAGACCAAAGTGACCAAGGGTGCAACATTAATAAAATAGTTTTCATTAATTAAGAATGCTTTGTTATTTTTAATTGTCAAATTAGATATCTTTTAGATATTGTCATGTTTAGTTTTAGAATGTTTTGGATAGATTTGCTCAATGTTTTATTAACATCGATGTTTTAATTTTGAACATCGATGAATAGAAATCGATGTTTTGTAGGCGATGTCGCAGCCCTACTCGGAAGTAGGTGCCAAGTTGTCAAGTGAGTGCGGTTCTGCCGTTCATAAGACAGCACGTTCCGCAAGTAAGACTTTTTTAACGATATAAATTGTTCTTTTACGACTGTCAAGCTTGGAAAAAACGTTGACAGCACACAACACACGCAATTGTTCCGTGTTCTCTATTCATTGTTTTTTCGCATATTGAGTACTTTTTTCTTGTCTTACGAATTCATTGTAAGTAGAAAAGGTAATGAAATCGTGCCCAGAAAAGGCCGAAATTTCGCCAGAAATAAACTTATTTTATTTCTTTGATTAAATTGTTTCCATTATCTGCTTCGATTTGTCATATCGGTACTAATTGACCCCTAACGCAAACGCTTCCGAACAGTAGTTCAATGGGAATGTCAAGTATTGGGAGGTTCGTAATCATTGACCATTGTGAGGATAATTTGGAAATTCCAACTAATTCAAATCTGGAGATTCGCAATTAGCAGAGAGGAAGTTATAGTAGGTAGTGATCAATTCCATAATCGAGTTTTCTGCGAACTGGAACCGTTGAAGGGATTCTCTGAAGAACCGTGCATAGTGACCAGTCAAAGTGCAAACTGATTGTGTGACAACGGTGTCCGTTAATTGTATCATTGATTTCTAATTGCGACTCTAATCAATTCATATATTATTGAGCAGCAGCGACTAGCTCCTATAAATCCCGGGAATACTCATATCGCCAATAATTTGTCTCCCTAACCGGAAAGAGAGCAAAAACAGTCATTGTTTTCGACACACTCCAGTCTTATCCTATACCGAAACGCTAGCGTAATGTAACGACAGAAATGTAAAATTCGTTGTTACCTGGGAACCCAACACAAATTTTTTTCTCGTTCTCTCTCACGGCTTCTACTTTCGTAGTGACGAAAAATGTATGATTTTTCTTGTATGGTTATCGTACGTCATTTATATTCATGCTTATCTCGCTCATTTTTCAAAACATGCATGATTTTGTTATTGAATTATGTTTATTTTTCTTCGTTCATTATTTAATTTTATGAATTTATTGACTTCCACGATCTTCCCAATTTTGTGTTCTGCTCATACTACATCTCGCTGCTATTTAAATGCTAGATCATGCTCTATAAAACAATTAACTCTTTCGAATTTTCAAACACTTTTGAATGGCTACGACCTGCTCGTGCCTCCTTTTCCAAGCTTAATCACATTTTCCAACATAATTGACATCTGCTCTTTAGCGGTTTCTGGGGCAACATTTTTCTTCAACTTTCGCTCGTCGCGCTCTTGTGTGCTCACGCATCCTTGCGTCGCGTCTTGGCAGAAGCCTCGGTGGGGAGGTCACCCCTGTGGGCGCGTGGGCGGAGCCGCGCCCCTCGCTCCAGGAAGCGTGGGAGGCGCCAAAGGGCAAAGGTCAACTGTGCGCCTTCACACCGTTCGGCTCGGCTCAGCCCGTCGCCCGGCAACGAGCAATCTCAAAGCCGCCACTCCCCCATGGCCCTTCTCGCCAGATCAGCTCATGTTGGGGTCACGCACTCAGTCGATTACCGCATTGCACGTATGGCCCTTGTCTACCTACAACGCGCCGACGGTGGCGTTGATAGCGGCCAGGCGCTGATAGCGGTGGCGATGATGGCAGTGGTAGCGGTAACTTTGAAGGCGGCGGCTGTTGCAGGCGCGGGGTTATGATTATTGGTATCGGTATTAGTGCCGGTTGTGGTGGTGGTGGTGGTGGTGGTGGTGGTGGTGGTATTAGAGGCAGTGGAGTTGGCCGTGCCGGTGGCGGCGGCGGCGGCGGCGGTTGCAGATGTGTGGGTGTCTGCGGTGGCGCTGTGAATAGGCCATGTGCGGGGGCGGTAGTCTCTGAGCCGCGCCGCCCCCACCGGAGCCGCGGCCCGGGCAGCGCCATCAGGAACGTGGGAGGCGGTCGCCATGGCAACCGCGTGGCCTCGCTGACGCCGCCGCGCAGTGCGGCTTCACACCTCCCTGAGGGTCGAAAATCGAGTAGGCGACAGCGGTGTGTGACACACGTACATTGGTATCGATTTGCTCTCTTGTAACCTGACGCCGTCAAATGTCAGCGTGCCCGCGCTTTGTTGTTTGCTGTATTTCGCTATCGGCAGATGAGTGTGGAAGCAGCGAATTATTCCGTTTTTGCAGGATCACTTTTCTTCAGGGCTATATCATCATAGGGATGAAAAACATCGTGCGCATTGTTGTGAACGATTCCTCGTTGTCTATTTAGTTATCTTTATTCGTTTGTTAAAGAGAGAAGTAAATATTATTGTGGTTGGTAAAATTTGTCTTCTCTTCGGAAGAAATGTAACGACAGATGAATGCGAGTGTTAAAGTAATGTAGCGTACCGAAGCTGATAAAGGTTATCCTCCTGCACTGTGAAACAGTACATGCTTCATGCGACATGACCATTCCCCAAAGGAGGGTGTAAAGAACAGAGTATCTCCACACGTACTACGTGTAAGCGTGCGAACCATTAATGAAGTGGTTCGCGGGTTTGAATGAAACGCCCCATGCCGCGCCTCCTCTTCCTCTACCGCGTGAGGCAGCGAGTGCGTCAGGTGCGCGGGCGCAATGCGCGGCCGCGCGTGGTGGGGCAGACGGACCCAACTTACTCGTCGCGGCGTCAGTCAGTGCCGTGCATCCCTGCGTCAGTCAGCGCCGCCGCCGCCGTCGCCGCCCCCCTGTTGACCGCCCGCCGCCGGCAACGAGCCTCCCCGCTGGCGCCTGGGCTGTTGCGAGCCCCTGCGCCGCCGCGCCGCCTTCCGCCTCGCGCAGTGCGTCTCCTTCTGCCTGGTGAGCGCCCCCCGCCCCGCCCCGCCCCGCCCGCGCCCCACCCCGCGCCGCGCCGCCCCACCCGCCGCCGCGCCGCAAGCGAGTTAAAAGAAAGCATAATATATCACCGGGTTATGTTCACGAACTACATTTTTGCAGTGTGTTCGTTTCAGTTGGCTCAATTCACCTTAGCATTCTGTGACGCAAACTTATTTATTTTCACGTCGTAAGACCCATAAAGAGCAAATAACGGGTACCGTGCTACTTCGGAAACGGAGACGTAGCAGAGGTTTATAACCATGCCGAAATCGGCATTTGATATCACTCAGTTATTTTCGTATACTCACTTCTGAAGAAAAAATATTCAAAAAGACATTTAATTTTAATTCATACCTATCTTTGAGCTAAAACTCATTCTTTTGACAGTTTTTAACTGTCAACGAACTGTAAAATCCCTTAACGACGTCTAATAAGTTATTTTTTTTGTTCCTCTATGTGTTTGCCTTTTGTTAATATTATACGTAGTATACTCTATTAAGGAAAATCGATTTTTCTGTATTTTGACGCAGTCTTCCGGGTTACTTACGGTACATGAAAAAGACAAACAACTCATCTACATTAACTGTAATAAATTGATTGATATATCTTTTGACCCAAAAAGACGCATTTGAAAATTGCACAAAATTAATGAAAATTATGCACCTGCGAGCGTGGTTCCAAGCGCTTGGACGTGCACCTTAGAGGCGCTTCCTGCACTGCAAGCGCATTGCAAACTGCGGCGCTGGAGAGCGCGTGGAATACTTATACAGCAACCCGAAGAATGACGCATCACTTCTCGTGCAATGAAAATTTATTGTTTTTGTACTTGGTTCAATGTTTCTTCGATGAAATCAATTTGGTATGCGCATAGAAAGTTAAAATTAATATGCAATGCCCTTTGTTAATCCGGTGTTGTTAGCAATATTAATGTAGATAAATTACTTTTTGAAATGAATTATTAAGAATATAAAAGATTCCCCGGTTGAATACCTGTTACTAGATACGTGCGCCTGTTATTGATTTATTACTACTAGGCGCCCCCATGCACGTCTACCCATAGTTATACATCAGAAGCGGTTCGCCCTAAGTGAAAATGCATGTTCACATGGCTATTCATGAGGCAGCATATGGGAGTAGTGCGTGTGCAGTGTGTGATCTGTCATAACGCATATAATCTCCCCATCAGTGTATTCACTGTGTGATGGGGAAGTTGGCGCTCCGAAATTAGTCTTCGCGGAATATAGATTCTTCTATTTGCTAACGTTAACTTAGTATTAATTTCCGAATATCTGTTGTTCAACTTTCTTATGAATTTGAAGAAATTTTATATCCATGTAATAATATAGTCTTTGCGGAAGAATTGATTGATACGAACAATTCTGTGGTGGTATTTTCTCTGAGCAAGAATTGGGACGCATGTTTGAGAAGTCGCACAATTTCATATTTTGCAAAATGGGGAATTCTTCCAAAGTAATTGGTTCTATATTAAATACCTGGAAAACGTAAAAAACTCTTGATCGCGAAAACGAGACAACTGTAAACTATCAGCCATTTTTTTTTCTAATTTAAAGACTGCTCCAAGATTCTCTCATTTTTTCTATGGCGCTGCTCAGGCCAGGTCAATTATTTTACTTACTGAGTTGTACAATGCCAAACGATTTTTATCGAGTAGGCTTCCGTGGACAAGATAGGTTGCTCTGAGGCTGCCCGGTTTTCGTCTGCATCAAGGCTGTGTTGCCGAAGTAATCGCCAGTCCTGAAGAAAACAACAACAAAATGGACGAAATACCGCCATCGACGGGGATTCACCAAAAGATTCGACAGCATTCACGATTGTTTTTGTTCATGCTTGTTTTGTTTTGTTTTCGTTGAATTGATGCCATTTTTGATAGTTTTTGTTCTTTATTGTTGATGCTGCGTTGTTGTTTTCGTGGTGCTGATGGCATGAATCGTCCCACAGAATAGCCACCATCCGGCGGCGGCGCACCCGGGCGCGGGCCTCGCGGGCCCGCTGGCGCACCTGCCCAAGGAGGCGGCCGACGGCGCCTCGGAGACGCGCGAGATCGAGGTGCGCGACGTGGTGAAGGAGGGCCACGAGAAGGCCGACCCCTCGCAGTTCGAGCTGCTCAAGGTGCTGGGCCAGGGCTCCTTCGGGAAGGTGTTCCTCGTTCGCAAGGTGGTGGGCAAGGACACCGGTACCCTCTACGCCATGAAGGTGCTCAAGAAGGCCACGCTCAAAGGTGAGTCCTAGTGCCCAGTCAGTTTGCGACTATAGTGTGTGTTGTGTTTGTGTGTGTTGTGAGTGTGTGTGTTTGTGAGTGTTGTGGTTTGTGTGTGTGTGTGTTTGTGTGTGTTCTCTGTGTTGCGTGTGTTGTGTTTGGGTGTGTGTTGTGTGGTGTTTTGTAGTGTTGTATGTGTTTGTGTTGAGTTGTGTTTTGTGACGGGTGTGTCTTGTGTGAGTGTGTGTGTTTGGGAGTGTTTGTGTTGTGTAGGTTGTGTGATGGTGGTTTTGTGTGAGTGTGTGTGTGTTGAGATGTTGTTGTGTGAGTGTGTGTGTTTGTGTGAGTGTGTGTTTGTGAGTGTTGTGTGTGTGTTTGTGTGAGTGTGTTTGTGTGAGTGTGTGTGTGTGTTTGTGAGTGTGTGTGTGTGTGTTTGTGTGAGTTTTGTGTGTGTTTGTATGAGTGTTTGTGTGTTTGTTGAGTTTGTGTGGTTGTGTGAGTGTGTGTGTGTTTTGTGAGTGTTGTGTGTGTTTGTGTGAGGTTGTTGTGTGTGTGTGTGAGTGTTGTGTGTGTTGTGTGAGTGTTTGTGGTTGTTGAGCTGTGTAGTGTTTGTGTGGTTGTGTGCAGTGAGTTTGTGTGTGTTTGTGTGAGCTGTTTGTGTTGGTGCTTTGTCTGTGTGTGTGTGAAGCGTTAAAGTGTTAGTGGTAAAGGTCTTTTTACGATGTCATCTTCAGTTACATTTGTATATAGTGTGCTCTCTACAGTCAAGCGCATTCGTAGAAGTAGTAAAAATAATTCGACTTCATGTAAACGAAAAGTACTACATTATTTACATCAGCCCTAATTTTAAAGTACTGACGCCGTTTTCATTGAATTCCTTTGTTCCGTAGAGATATGTTAGAATACCATGAACCCCAGTGTAATTTTTTCTGCTTTGGTTTACACAAGGAATTATTGTTACTGTATGAGTTTAACTAGAACTGTCGCTAACCCAAAGTGATAGTTACGTCTTTCAACAATTCTCAGATTTTTATAAAAAAAATTCGAAACCGTCGCCATCTCGTAGAAACACTGGCGTGTTTTCCAGCCCACATACGTGTTAAAATTATTATTTGCGTATCTGTTGCTGTAGAAAAAAGTTGTACATTTCATGCAACATTGTCAATGTTGAACTAGTTCTTTAAAAATATGTTTTTTACAGCAAGAACAGTAGCATTTTCAAATTATTTATGTCCTGTCCACAGCTCAAAAATTGATTTTTATGTTTTACACATCTGTTACACGTACATTACCCACTTGTATTTCTTATAAACTTTTTCACATAATTGAACAAATTAATTTGAACATTAATTTGAGGAAATAAAATACAATATAATATACAATAAAATTTAAGAAACTGTGAAACGAAGAACAATAAACAATTTGTAGTAAATTTGTATAGTAATAGACTTAAATTATCGATTAGTTTTTATCCAGCATTTAATTCTCTGTTGATAAAAACTGATTTCGAAGCAACACCGCCCTAACACACACCGAGGTAATTTCGAAAAAAAACGTGTTTAAAGCTTCAACTGTGTCCATTATTCTAGATTTGATTTAAAATGTTCGATAAAGCCACTTATGCCATCTTAAAGATGATGTGTGTTAATCAAAATGGAATTTTATTAATTCGCATTTAAAGAATAAAATTAATATTGCTAAAACTAAAGAAAATAGTAGCTAATCTTACTAGTATTAATAATATTAACTGTTATCTTTATGTGTATATTGATAAAATTCATATTTAAGTGGGAAGTATACTTCCCACTGACCGTTAATGGGAATGTGAGCAAGTAACAACCATTATACCCCATATTTTTCAGGACAACTATTAATTAGAATTTAATATTTAAAAAACTAACATTGTTATAAGTTTTTTGATGAATACAGTTGTTTTCAACAATAATTGATTTTTGATTAAGGTTGTATTGCACAAAAAAACGGTAAAATTTCTTGAACGAAGAATGCCTTTCTTCTAAATCATACCAACAAGCTTAATCGGAAGCTTAGACGCGAGATGCGTGTTAGTGTTTCAAGAGCGAGATTAGTGTTTCAAGAGCGCAAAACTATGTCACTCAAATTTAAAGATTTTGTGGGTTGGGACGCTGTTGCGACCGGATCCCTCAATCATATAGTATCTTTATTTTTTCAATTCGAATCATTTAACGATAATTTAAAAACTGATGTTTTAATCAACTTTATCTGCTTTTAAAGCAATTAATGACAAATCACTTAGCGATTTTGGTTTAAAGTAAAAACATCGCCACACCATTCACCACCCAACGTTGACCCAACTTCCCCCGCATCTCCCAGCCCCTCCGTACTCGTGCGCCTCAATTCGCAATGTCTAGATGCATTCTGAGGCGGATTAACAACTTTGTCGCCTGCAGGCACGTGAAAAATTACTGCTTATTTTTTTCAAAGAACCGAGGGAAAATGTTGTATATAATAAGGATAATTTATGATTAAAACTTGCACTCAAATATTTATGACTAAAATTAAACATTATTTAATTCATAAGTTTAAGCGTGTTAATTTTTTTCTGTGGGAAATCAATTAATGTTTAAATCATGTATTTTCATGTATAGAAATAACTTATCATCAGCATGCTTTTTGTAGTTATGCGTATTTATTTTTCTGTTGTTCTATCTTTAATTCTTAAAATTATGTAAATGTCTACATTGGAAGATGTCTAATTTCTTTCATATTTTCTAGGGCTAACGTAATTTTAAAAATGAAAAGTTTTTTGACTTTTTCGAAAGCAAAATTATCAATAATTTCGTTCAAATTAACGATTTTCAAATTTTATTTCCGTTGCACACTAAAACTAAAGAATATGACATTTTTGGTCATTGTCGAATTGAAATAATTTTAATGTGCAGGAAAACGAATGTTCTGCAGTGTAATTTGAAGAAAATGCACAGATAAAACACTCTCAGCACATCGACAGTTGGGTAAACAATGAAGTTTTTATTCTCGTAGGTATTGACATAACAAAATAGTGTTTTCTGTTTTCTTTGCTGGATAAAGAGTTGGCAAATGAGACTTCAAATGCTTGAGTTCTGAAACAAACACATAGAATACCCATTTCTTTTAAATCTCCCGCGTCGAAGATGAGGCTCTTTAGACTCCGTTTCAGTCCACAATTTTTGCCGCCGTAGGCACTTGCCTCCTCTGCCTCTGCGTAAATCCGTCCCTGGGTGCATTGCATAAGAGCAACGCCACTACTGCGCGCAACGCCGTGCTTCACCAGCGAAAGCGCAGGCCCTAACAAAGGCGTGGTTTGTTGCAGTGCGGGACCGCATGCGCACCAAGACGGAGCGCAACATCCTCGTGGACGTGCGCCACCCGTTCATCGTGCGCCTGCACTACGCCTTCCAGACAGAGGGCAAGCTGTACCTGATCCTGGACTTCCTGCGCGGCGGAGACCTTTTCACGCGCCTCGCCAAGGAGGTGAGGACATCAGCGCGCTCTTGCCGCACACAACCGGCACCTGCTCGACAAATGGATGGAATCTCAAAATGTTGACACCCACGGGCGACATCGCGTATCATGTATCTCGTTCCTTTTCTTAGCCTCTGTTGAAACAACGCCACCTAGATCTAGGTGGTGTTGGTTGAAACCGAGCTTTTGCTCTCAAACTCTGGCATTGATAGTGGCGGACTGTAGGGTAGTGCGAGGGTGCCATATCATCAACAACAAAGACGAAGGAAAATAAAATGTTCACCCCAAATAGGTGTATAAAATTTCGTTACTCCAAAATAGTTTTCTTTTTAGTAATTAATTTGAATGAGCATTTTGCGCGGAGTGCTATCTGCCGGCCTCTTTCTAAACCGCTGAGCCACGTACGGACTGTTTCTGCCCATTTAACTCTCCGTGTAAAGGACACTGGGTTGGTTTGTATGCGTACCTTATGGATGAGATGGAGCCAAAATCGAACTGGCTCAGTGATTTACGCTCTGTTCTATAGAGTGTACTAATGATAATATCGTCAACGAGCAGACCATCTCTCGCTCAGAATGACCCCGGTGCCGTGTTATTTCGGATGTCCCTCCTTGTATTTTGCACATGGAGAGGTGGTGTACGCCGTGGGTGTAAGACCTCACATCTTCTTCCTATACCCTTCATCGGCGAACTGAGGAAGCTCTGACTTCTTGAGATTAATGTGGGAGCTCAGGCTTTCAGGTAGTGTGTTGTTATTTGTTCTTATTATTTTTAGTTTATTTTCAGTTTAATCTTCATTACAAATTATTAAGCACGATCACTGTAAAATTAAATTTTGTTGCGCAGGAATTTTATTTTAGAAATTACTAAACCAGTTTTAAAACATAGCAACAATGTTTTTTGATCGAGGTATCTTTAACATCGATGTGTTAATTTTGAACATTCTTGTTATTGATGTTGTATCACTAACTTGTAACACTGGCAATAGGTTTCGGCCGACACATTAGAATCTAATGAAAAGGGCGGTGGTAATATTTTTTGTTTTTCACTTTAGAACAATGCCTTTTAGCATTGATGTTAACTTTGTTATGACAAAAGAATATGACCAATTTTTATACAACATTCTTTTGCATTTTTCTTCGATTTCGACTAATGAGTCATTTTTTATCTTTTCCGTTATTTTTAAATCATTTTCGCTGACTAAATCGATTTTAATATCATTTTAATGGTACTTGCTTCAAATAATATTTACGAAATGCAACAAATGTTCTTTAGTAATTTCGATTTCTTAGCTCAGAAATTGTAACGTCAGCCGTTGTGAGAATGTAGTCGAAGGTTTCTTGGACGCCTATCAGCTCCATTGTCGGTTCGGAGGATTTCGAATACTAGAGAAAAAGATTTCCTGCTCCAGTCCAAACCGAAGGTTTGCAAGCTAAGTTCACTTGAACGAAAGGAAGAAGTCTTGATTATATCAGTAACATATCAACATTACAACATTTACACGATTACAACAGCTTGAGTTGAGAAAACCTGAAATGGTTTTTTGCTTTTTTAAACTGGTTTTTCTTTTTCTTTTAGAGCATTTTAAAAACATTTTAATTTGCTTTCCCCTCCCTGGCACAAGAAATAGCTGAAGGCATAAGCTCGCAGCGAGCACTGATGACATTCCAAACACATCTTCATTGGCGTGAAATAGAAACTATTTTCTGTTGAAGACGAAAACTTCTGTCCTGATTTTCTCCAAAAGATCCAAAGAAATGACCGTAGTAGGTGAAGATCCATCACATGAGATACCTCAAACTCCTGAGAAAGTTAGAACGCAAATTATTGAGAAAGTTGCGAAGGATTCTCCATAGATTAGCATTGCTTCATAAAATCTAGTGGCCGATTTCGGAACTAATACCCCCACTCTACCCGCATTTCTTCAATCCATTGTTCAAGAAAAGTTGCACGAGTTACCCCCACTCTTTAACTACATTAAGGTGACCAATCGTCCTTCTTTAGAGAGTACAGTCCTTTTGTAGGTTCTGTCCTTCCTCGAAAAGTGTCCTCCTATTCGATATTTTAAAACTGTGTTAATCTAGTGTTGATGTACTAATCTAGTTAATCAAGTGAGAAAACAAGATTAAATATTGATACGTTCATTGAAGCACGTACCGCATAATCCAGTATGAAGAATATTTCTTGCTTCGAAATTTCCAATATATTGTTAGAAAACGATAAGTTGACAAAAATATTAATTCAATAGATAAATACTCGTTTAATTAAATAATAAAAAAAGATGTAAACATAATTACTATATTTTGTTTCAATTAATATACTTTTTCATTTATTTACGTTGTTTCTTTTTCTTAATTTTCGCCCTTCTTTTCATTGTAAAAACATTGGTCATCTTATTAACATTTAAGAATAAATGTTAGCGTCGAGTGTTGTTGACAAAATCCGATTACCAGAAATGTTTGCTTCAATATAACAGAAACTGTTTTGCAGGTAAAAACGAGCTACAGATGCGATATAATAGTCCTATTGTCGAAATAACCAATCCCCTCTCGCAACTAGCGAAATGAGGGCTCAAGAAAATGCGCGCAGAAAATAACTTATGCCTTAATCTTTTTAAATTTATTATTTTAAAATTCCAAGTATCCGTACCCAGTATCCCGTTCCCAGTATCAGAAAAATTCTGAATACAGGGAACCAATTTCGAAAGGTTACCCCCTGGAGTGTGTTTACAGCATTTTAAACCCGGTACTGTACATGGATAAACATTCTAATATTGCATGGAATTTATTAACAAAGGAATGCATTGACCGTGCGATAAAATCCCATAGTATAAAATAGGCAAATTTGGTATGTACAAAATGTCTCAGAATAAATGTTACAAACTTCTAGGACAGTATTTGCCAACTGGTTGAGAAATGACGTCAGGGCAGCGTTCCCCTCCGCGGAAGGCGCTCGGTGAAGCAGTGCGAGCAAAGACGGGAGGGACGGAGGGAGGAATCGACAGCCTTGACAGTGTGCCATTGCCTGTGTTTCAGGCAACGATAAGAACCCATTTAACCTTGTTAATTTTCTTTCGATTTGGCAAGAAGTGTTTCTTTTGGTGGACTCGATAACAATTGTGAAGTATTTGTGTTCGAAAGCACTGTAGCATGTTAAAAAATTCAACCTACGGAGGCATTCCGCAGATTTGCAACAGAGATAAACCTGCGAGATGAAAATAATTTCTGAGAAGTTTCAGATAGCCTGCAATCATGAGATGAGTAAAATATTTTGCAGATAGAAAGTTATGAAAATGGCACTGACAATTACGAGGATTCTCAAACACATTCTCAAACAAAATTGTACATGAGCTGTCAAGCCTAGTGTCCAAATACTCCCACGTAACCCCTCCCGGGTATCTATATAAAATATTTTTGTACTTCTAGAATTTTAAAACTGTCTTCTCTAAAAATGTTGTGTATTAGAAAAATGGAAGAGGAATTACAGATACTTGTTACGATAGAGTCGGATATTGCTTTGACTTATGTAATAATCTGTTACATTATTTTAAATTTTTCATATTTTGGTTGAATCATAAACATTTAAATAATAATTACCATTTAAGAACGTAATTATTGGGCGAATCTTTTTCCCCTATCGCCGTTCCATCATTGGAACACTGTACGCCCGCCGCCGAGCTCGGCACTAAGTTTGCTCCGCAGCTCGGCTCGAAGCAGGAGAGCCCATTTTTGTGACGTCACAGAGCATTGAGTTGGCAAGCACTGTTCTAGGGAATAGGCCTATAAGAAATCGATGATTATCACTTTTTACCAGTGAATATGCGATAATAAATTTCTTGTAACGCATTTACATTGTGACATTTGCCCCTGACTGTTGTAATCCATCATGAATTGGTGTACAGTAACTATGTGAAATCACTCCTGATGGCATTATAACATGTTCTGTGTAATGCTACCAATCAGGGGCAAATGTCACATGTGTACCTTCATTTTAAGAAATTTTCCATTACATATTCATTAGGGAAAAGTTAGCATTCAACCCCCCTACATGTTCTCAAAGTTTGCCACAAATACTCTGAGACACCTATATTTCAAGATTCTGCTCATTTGTAGCAGCACAAGCTAGATAAGCATACCCAGTAGAGCTGAACCTACATGGATATTTAAAAATGTTTTTGTCAACTTTTATAATTATTTTGAATCTTTATTTTCAAAATAAGTCCAAATGTCCCATGTTGATTTTGATGATGACATTTCTGTTGTTCAATATTGCTTATTTACACTCGAGGGCGAGGCATAAGATCATTCAAGGTTTCATTGCTTTCTTTAATTATTTTTCAGAGCCTCATTGTATAAAGTTTCATGAAGTAGCACATATTTTTTCTTTTATACATTTGTCATATATTTTAAATTGCTACTGCTAACAAAAATAAAAATTACACTATTGTGTCTCTTACAATCAATAACTAATTTGTAAGATTTGCATTCACTTACTCACTGTAATGTTCCAGAAAGTTCTTTCCTTTACCATTTCTTCATTTCACCACCACTAGTGACCCTTCTCACAGCCATTTCTTTTCCCTAACATATCTTCAACCCTATTTCACCTTTTCCAGTTATTTCTTGCCAATGCCCTCTTTCTTTAATTAACATGTACTGTCTATTCTATTTCACTCGTACATTCTGAACGACCCTCTTTCATCCTCGTGTCCCCACTTACTCTAAGCTTTTGCACTCTTCCAAATGCTTTGATGCAGGTATTACAACCCATACCTCTTCTTCATTAATGTTTCACACTTATTGTCCTTTCACTTAATTTTCATTCGCAACTAATTTTACTTTTGCTTTTTACTGTCAAATTTAGTACCGTATTCCATTATCATTTAACACGTTTTCATCTACATATTTTTCATTTGTCAGATATTTCGTCTTTTTTGTTCTTCCAAATGAATTCTGAAGGAGAACATAATAAAGATATATTGTGATTATATTCATCTAATAAAGAATTGTCTCTTGCAGGTTATGTTTACAGAAGAAGATGTTAAATTCTATCTAGCTGAGCTAGCACTGGCGTTAGATCACATCCACAGCTTGGGCATTATTTATCGTGATCTCAAGCCTGAGAAGTAAGTATCTCATGGATCACTTTTTTAAACATCTGTTTGTTGCCTCATGATAATACAGAGAGAAACTTTTCAGGGGTGGAGGAATTGTGATTCTTCCAAAAATATAGAAAAACAGATATTTTGCCTTTAGAAGTTCACCATTGCTCATTTATGATTGTGGTATAAGGCAATTTCACTTTTAAGCATTAATTTGCATCAGAAAAATTGAGTCCTATTTTATGGGAAAACTAAGACAATTCTCAAGAAAGAAAAAAGAGAAGGAAAAAAATAAAAAAATTACTGTTGCTGTAAAATACAAAAATATTTAGAATTCACCTTATAAGTTTCCTCTTTGTAACTCCAATATCCTTTTCATCTTGGTTTTGATGTAATTTGCATTTAAGGTTCAAGTAAGTTTTATTTACAAATTTTTCACTTACTTTTGGACTATAGCTAGGACAGGGGACATTTTTCCTAGTGATGGTAATACCAAAATTTAGAAAAATAGATGTAATTTAATATGTAATCAATACAAGAAGTATTGTTTAGGAGACAAACACACTTAGTTTATTATAATAAAGTATTATAATATTGTAATTCAACAAATTTTCAGAGATATTAATTTACTTGTGATTTTAGCATCCTACTTGACGCAGATGGGCACATATCTTTAACTGACTTTGGCCTCAGTAAGCTTCCACTAGATGACCAAAAAGCATATTCATTTTGTGGAACAGTGGAATATATGGCTCCTGAAGTTGTTAATAGAAAAGGTCATTCCTTTGCTGCCGATTGGTGGTCATTGGGTGTATTGATGGTATGATCCATTTAAATTGACAAATAATTCAATAATATCTCAAAATAAAACTTGTTTGGTAATGAAATTAAATTATTTTAGTTTGAGATGCTGACTGGAACATTGCCCTTTCAAGGGCCAAATCGTAAGGAAACAATGACCCAGATTCTCAAAGCCAAACTCGGCATGCCACAGTTCCTATCGCCAGAGGCACAAGCACTTTTACGGGCTTTATTCAAGAGGAATCCTGCTAATCGTCTCGGTGCAGGTATGCTAATCTAGTGTTTTCATAGTGTGCTGCACATTGAACAAAAATTTTATAATTTTATTTACAATTCCAACAGTAAGTTAAGAAGTAGTGATTAAAAATTTGATGTATTTTTTAATCATTGATGAAAAATGTTATAAATAATATAAAAAATAATTTGACAGTTACATATTGTATTGCACTAAGTACAATGTTCAATTTTTCTAAATAATTGAACTAATAATAATAGTAGTTTAAATATAATAATTATTATAATAATACTTTTAATAATTATTATAATAAATATAATGTCAGCTCCATGGTACAGGTGGTTGTGGCAGCCATTGTCTATTTCGAGGAGGCTGCAGGTTTGAGCCGTGCCCAGGCATGGTTGTATTTGCGATGTCCCTTTACTTTTAATTATCATTCCATTTCCTCATGATTCATAATTCAAGGCTTAACAACCTTGTCTTATCAAGGGATACAGACATAAACGCTGATCCCATAATTACACATGTACACTCCTTGGGACCTTAGAAATAACTTGTAGCAGTTACAATAATAATGTTAAAATTATAAGTATTACATATAGTATTATTACTTAAATTATAATACTATAAGTGTAAATATGGTAAAATATTTTTCTTTTCTGTACAATCTCTTGTACAGAAATACCTGTAAATATTTGTAAAACTATGAATTCTTGGGTTTGCTAACACCAGATTTATTAAATATAACCAATGTAAAACTTGATCAAATGAAACATAATAATAATACTAATAATGCTCCTGCTGCTGCTGATGATGATCATGATAATGATAATGATGATAATGATAATGATAATAATAATAATGATAATGATAATAATAATAATTATTATTATTATTATTATTATTATTATTATAGTAATAATTATAATAGTAATAATTAAATGCTAATGTTGATAATGAATAGTTTAAGGTTTTTAAACATCTACTTGAAAAGCATTAGGTTTAATATGTATTATTTAAATTTTTTAAAAACTAGTACAAATTTTAATAAAATTAAAAGTTAAGTAACAACTTCACTTGTGTATATGTATATAGGATTAGGACCCTGGATACTCTGCACATTAACATTAACCTTCTTTCATGTACTACACCATTTCTCAATTAACCACTTTAAATGCCACTCATTTCGCTTAGACCTCGCAACTCCTCTTCCCCTGGCACACTCTAATAGGGCACACTCTGCAGTGGAAGCACCTGCTACTTACATTAACTTCTACTCAACTAATGCGTGATCTGGGCTGTCCGGGTGACGCCACGTCGACGGCTGTGCGCTCCTGGCCAAGCAGCATCTAGGGTCACCACTCTCCTAACTTCACCCAAAATCTCTTAGTGCATAATAACTGATAAATATAATTTTGAAAATTTCTGGTTTTAATATTCGAAAAAGAATAAAAATTAACTACAAATAATAAAGTTATTAATTAAATTGATATAATAAAAATAATGTATTACCTATAAATTTTTTTCATATGATGGAAATTAGATAAGGATATAATTAAATTAATATTAGAGTAATATAATTTACATAGATTTTTTGTTAAAAGTACAGAATTTCAGTTTCATATTTTAATGCCTTTCTGTTGATACAGGTCCAGAAGGGGTAGAAGAAATCAAATCGCATTCATTTTTTGCTACCATTGATTGGGATAAGTTGTATCGTAAAGAAATTCAACCACCATTCAAACCTGCTGTCAGCCGAGCAGATGATGCCTTTTACTTTGATAAAGAATTCACTTCAAAGACGCCAAAAGGTTCGTGCATATTTTGTGATGACATTCAGTTTATTCGGTTTCATATAGAGTAAAATTTGAGATATCTATTGTTTGTAATTTTTGTTTAATTAGATTCACCAGGTGTACCACCTAGTGCAAATGCACATGAATTGTTTAGAGGATTCAGTTTCATTGCTCCTTGTTTGCTAGAAGAACAAGCAAATTCTGTACCAGAACGTGCAAGTGAAGTGTTGTCAAATAAGGTAAAAGCTTAGGCTACACCTTCTAGTCCTTGGATATTTTGCTCATTGCTTTGTTTATCCTTATTAATGTTAATTTGTTTACAGTTAATGTATGTCAAACCAAATTCAATAAGTGATGAGTACGAACTCAAAGAAACCATAGCAATGGGAAGTTATTCAGTTTGTAGATTATGTGTTCACCGAGCATCAAGAACAGAGTATGCAGTGAAAGTAAGTTTCATTTCCAGATTTTAAATTATTTTTTAGGTCATCACAATTTTAAGCATTGTGCGAATATTATTTCTTTTCTTTTAGGTTATTGATAAGTCTAAAAAAGATTGTCAAGAAGAAGTAGAAATTTTACTTCGATGGGGTCATCATCCTAATATAGTCACATTAAGAGATGTAAGTAGATAATAATTATGTAGGTACAATATCTCCCGAGTCTTATCATTAGAAATTGAATTTTATTTCATGATGGTTTTATGGTGTTTCAGGTTTATGAGGATGACAGATCAGTGTATCTGGTCATGGAACTAATGCGAGGGGGAGAATTGTTGGACAGAATTCTTAGGTTAAAATTTTTCTCTGAGCGAGAAGCCAGTGCTGTTATGCACATTATAGTAACGACAGTTCAGTACCTGCATCAACATGGGGTTAGTACATTCAAAGTATTTTATATAACTGTTTTTTATGTTTATAAAGTTGGGAACATTGTTGTCAATTGAGAAATGACCTGGAACATTTGTCTTTCAATAGGTTGTCCATCGTGACCTGAAACCCTCAAATATATTATACGCATATGATACAGGAAATCCTGAAGCACTTCGCATCTGTGATTTTGGTTTCGCTAAACAGTTGAGAGCAGAAAATGGACTCCTTATGACTCCTTGTTACACAGCAAATTTTGTTGCTCCAGAAGTTCTCAAGAGACAGGGCTATGATGCCGCTTGCGATATCTGGTCGCTAGGAATTTTGTTATACACCATGTTGGCTGGGTAAGAGTCTTGTCCAATTTGCATGCTACATGAATGTAAAAGGAATTGCATCACTTGCATTTTCAATTTTTTTTTAAATAGTTGCTTTTACCTTAAGGGTTCAAATAAACTGCATTTGTTCAGTTTAAGGAAACGGCAATAAAAGTAACTACTTACTAAATTAACTCTTATATTCAAATAATTTATTGTACAGTATTGTATTATAATGTTAATGATTTCTCTGTTTTACATTGAAAATAACCATTTGTAATTCCTCTGAAATGATATAGTGATTACATAATGGTACAGTATGGTATCACTTCTTGTGTTTATTTTTATATTATATGGTTAGGCGGAAGAGCAGGCCTAATGGCCCGAGTCCCACAACATAAATTTTGCAGAACTGTATTATAATCAGTAGAGACATTTATTTTATGGCCAAACAGAAAGTGTTCATAAAGACTTCTTTTACTTTTAAAAATAGATAGTTTTCTAAAACTTACTTAGCATAACGTAAAAATGACAAATTTTTAGTTACAAGATATCTTGTGACCAACAGTGCTAAATTCTTTAATTGTATTACATAATTTATATTTTAAAAATAAAATTGGGAAGCAAAGATACTTTGAAATACTTTTAAATTTTAATTTAGACAGTGAATGGGCTGTTTCTATTTAATTTTTTAATTGTTTTATTTAGCAGAAAATTTACTTTAAAATTGGCAAATATCTCTTTTAACAATTCACTTTATAACTTCATGCACATTATTCTTCAATATTCAGTCTATTCACATTGTCCCTTTAGACAGCCACTGTTATTGACACTTCTGAGATTTACATTAGTGTTAAGTTATTTAGATTTTATTTTTATGATCCATTATTTTCATACATGTAATATTTCCCCAAATAAAAAAAAGTGTGTGTTATTTTGTAAGGATCCTTAGTGTTTAAGTGTGTTTCATAAATTTTATTTTCAGTATTTCTAAAATGTTGTATAACCTGTCTTGTTTAAAGCTCTTATTTGCAAAAAAATATATTGACACATAACATCCAAAGCTTATGGCTTTATTTTTATACCTGACTTTACTATCTTCAGTGATATAGCTCTGCTTTTTTATTAATTTTTTTTCCATAGGTTATTTTAAGAGATTGTGGATATTTATTTTCTAATTCAACCATATTACACTGGATTGGAACAAAAATTGTAGATTTACATTTTGTCCTCAGGGCTCAGAAAATATTGAACTCAAACCATGATTATATGTGTAATAGTAGTTTCAGGGATGGAATTCCAATCTTGGGGTGGACTGAAGACACACTTTTATGTGAGAAAGAAACTTAAGCCAAAATTTTAATTTTTTGCATCTCTGTAGTATTAACCTACTTATAAAATTAAGTATTGAGAAGCAGAATTGGATTTTCCTCCCAAGTAGTTTCTGAGAGAGAAGAGTGTGTGTGAGTTTGAGTGGAGTGTGATGTTGTGTGTGTGTGTGTGTGAGTGTGTGGTGTGTGGTGTGTGTGTGAGTGTGTGTGTGTGATGTTGTGTGTGTGATGTGAGGTGTGTGTGTGTGTGAGGTGTGTGTTGTGTAGTGGTGTGTGTGTGAGGTGTGTGTGGTGTGGAAGTGTGTGTGAGTGTGTGTGTGTGTGTGAGAGTGTGTGTGTGAGTGAGTAGTGTGTGTGTGTGAGAGTGTGTGTGTGTGAGAGTGTGTGTGTGTGTAGAGTGTGTGTGTGTGTGAGGTGTGTGTGTGTGTGAGAGTGTGGTGTGTGGGTGTGTGTGTGTGAGAGTGTGGTGTGAGAAGTGTGTGTGTGTGGTGTGAGAGTGTGTGTGTGTGTGAGAGTGTGGGTGTGTGAGAGTGTGTGTGTGTGTGGAGATGTGTGTGTGTGTGTGAGTGGATGTGTGTGTGTAGAGTGTGTGTGTGTGTGTGGTGTGTGTGTTCGTGTGAGATGTGTGTGCCTGTGTGTGAGAATGTGTGTGTGTGCCTGTGTTGAGAGTGTGTGTGTGTGTTTGTGTGTGAGAGTGTGTGTGGTGTGTGTGGTGAGAGTGTGTGTGTGTGAGAGGTGTGTGTGTGAGAGAGAGTGTGTGTGTGAGAGATGTGTGTTGGTTGAGAGTGGTGTGTGTGTGAAGAGTGTGGTGTGAGTGAGAGTGTGCATGTGTTGTTGTGAGAGTCGCAGTGGTGTGTGTGTGAGAGTGTGTGTGTGGGATCAGTGTGTGTGGTGAGATGTAGTTATGAGAGCATGTTGCGTGTGTGAGAGAGCATGGTGGTGTGGGGGGTGAGAGAGAGCATGTGTGTGTGGAGTGTGTGTGTGTGAGAGTGTGTGTGTGTGTGTGAGAGTGTGTGTGAGAGAGAGTGTGTGTGTGAGAGTGTGTGTGTGAGAGTGTGTGTGTGTGTGAGAGTGTGTGTGTATGTGAGAGTGTGTGTGTGTGTGTGAGAATGTGTGTGTGTGTGTGAGAATGTGTGTGTGCCTGTGTGAGAGAGAGTATGTGTCTGTGTGTGTGTGTGAGTGAGAGAGAGAGCACGTGTGTGTGTTTGTGGGTGAGAGAGCGTGTGTGTGTGTGAGAGAGCATGTGTGTGGGGGGATGAGAGAGAGCATGTGTGTGTGGGTGAGAGGGGGTAGAGGTAGAATATTGTGTCATAGCTGTGTGATATTATCCATTACCTAAACAATTAAAATTTACTTGTATTGGAAGTTTATAAAATTATTGTTGATATAATTTCAGTCAAATTTGTAAGCAGCCTGCAAGGGAGTCAGGGAGCAGATCTTATCTACATGTCCACTTTATCAATACAATTCCAATGAGAGAGACTTTACTCCTAAGATTTCTTTTGGAATTGCTTGTAGATCTTCTCTTTTCAGTAATACATGAGGGGAAAATAATAAGAGTAGCCTATAAAATTATCTATTCTTTAGTAAGTGCCATTTTCAGAATTTTCATTTACTGAAAGATTGTCAAGTGTACATTTGACTCAACAATGTATATGACTAAATATCTAAATCTAAAATTTTGGCAAAAACTGGTATAAAATATTTATATTTTTTATCTCAATTCAATGTGATAGGTTTTGATACAATTTATAAAGTGAGAGTAAAATTACTTCACTTAACTGTTGTAATTGCCAAACAACACATCCTTTAACTGATCATACAACAATCTTTTATTTATTTTATTAAATTAGATTTTTATGTCATATAGACAATATATGTTATATAGGCTTTAGCTTCTGAAACCCTCCCTATAGCTATACATGTAGAAGCTGCACTACCTCTAATTCAGTAGTGAATTCCTATATTATATTTTTTCTGAAATAGTTATAGATGAATTGGTATGCACTGAAATTCCTAAATCAGTAAATTGTAATAATAACACATTTGTTTTTCAATAGCCAAACTCCATTTGCCAATCATGCAGCTGATTCACCTGGTGATATACTTCGTCGTATTGGTGAAGGCAGAATTGATCTAGAATCAGGAAACTGGCTGTCAGTATCAACTGAAGCTAAGGTAATCTCTTATTACTAAAACTTTTAATTCTCAATATTCTTTTTTGTAGGAACTGTAAGTATAATACTGCAGTTTTGTGGAAGATAAACCCCTACATTGCCTCTTTTAAAAAAATATTAGTGATAATTCTGTGGTGCTAAGGCAAGGCGTAATGTGGGGAAAGGTAATTTTTTTCTTATTTGGCTATTGATATTTTTATTATTTAGAGAAATTTGCATGGTCCTGCCAGAAAGGAAAATGATTGTTTAGTGGTGATTGAACTTACCACAGTATTGTAAATAAATTTTGTCAAAACCACAAACTCTGCAAAGCATCTCCACGAAAATCACGTTTTTTAATGTTGGATTCTGCCTTAGTTTAACAGAGTTGCAATCCTATGTCACATGTTGCTTGTACAATATGATGTACAGTTTTCTTGTATTTATGTTTCAAAATGGACCATCTTGCAATTATTGCTGACAGAGAAAGAAGTGTAAATTTTAGTCTTGTGTTAAGAAGTTGATGTCCTTAGAGAGTGTAAATATTTTTCTCTCTCCATCTCCGTGTGTGTCTCTCTGACTTGCCCAGTGTCACATGCCAACGCTCAACAACTAATAATTCCAGGTGCAGCACAGTTTGAATGGAAATTGAATTAAAAGGAAATGCAATTTTGTTTTGCAGTATCATCTAGTCGAGATACAATAAAATGAATAGCATATAAACCTTCTAGGTGGAACAAATATGTAGATGTGCTGCTTGTCATGGAGATCAGTCAGATGTCACAATAAAGTTGTTTCCAAAAATTAACTTTGTTTCTCTTATAAATTTATAATGCTAGAAAAAGATGATGTATGCAACTAATTTATAATGTTGCTTTATTGCATTCATACTAATGTGAAAACTCTCCTAACTTCATTGTTTTGAAAACATGTCCTCGTGCAATGAAACTTAACATTGTAAACTAGTTACATAATATACTATTATTAAATTTGAAGTAACAACCCACTTTCATTGTCTCTTTACCATCACTAATTTCAACTTATTAATGTTTCATTTTTATCTCGTTTGATAGTTTCATATGTATTGATATTGTTTTCAATCTCTGTTATTACTTATTTCATTGTATCTGAAGGATGTTCTTGCCTTATTACCTAATTAGAGTGAGAAAAAGTTCTACTTATATATTTTCACTCTTTTCTGGTATTTTGAGAAATATGCACCCCTTTTTGTGATTTCAGGATCTTGTACAAAAAATGCTACATATAGATCCAAATAGGCGTCCTACAGCAAGTCAGGTACTACAACACGACTGGATCCAACACCGCAATCACTTACCTACAAGACGTCTGCAACTTCAGGAAGCAAGTGTTGTCAAGGTTCGTAATTTTAATTATCTATCTCAGATAAAATATAAGCAATATATCTCTATGTACTGACTGTTATTTTATTTTTAATAGGGAGCAATGGCTGCAACATATCGTGCCATGAACCAGAAACCTAGATCTCCTAATCTTGGACCTGTTGCAATGTCTGAGCTAGCAAGACGTAGACGGAAGTCTCGCCCTAAATCGTCTACAGAAGTTTGAATTCAAGTTCTGGAAAAAGCTGTGTCCCTGTGAAGAATCATATAGTGTTTCACTGTGAGATGAACCTAAATGAGAAGGCCTTATTTGTGGATCACTTCACAACCATACAAACAAGAGTGGATTCCAGTATTAAGAATATCATTGTTGATAAATTTTCTTAGACTCTGTGAATAACACCATTTTCAGGGGATTTTTCTCTGGATATAAAGGCTGCAGATGTACTTGCTTTAGTATAAATATTGTTAAAATACAGTGGAAGCCATAGTGGAGAACAAGTCATTCCAACTAGTAGTAAAATGCTCAGAAGCTCTATCTGTTTTGCAAGGAATTTGAAAAGTGTATTTTGTAATCCAGTATCTACATAAAGCTATCAAAACTCTGAGACTGTAGGAATGTGAATTCCTCCATAATGCACAAACACTATTGATATCACTTTAATGTCACATAAATTAACAATGCTGTAACATTGGGAATTTCATGGTATATGAATGTGTGACTGGAAATATCAATTTTAATATAAAAGTTTCATATTGATGAGAATTTGTTAGAAATATTTGATGAGATTTGATTTTAATTTTTGTAGAATGTATTTTCTTTTACAAATGCAACATTCTCTTCCAGATGACTAATTCTTTTGTGTCGTAATGTTACATTGTCATCTCATGGTGGTAGGAGGTTGTAACAATTTAAGTGAAGAAATGTCATTCTATGCATTGATATATTAATTCCATAAGATAATTGTAAAATACAAATTGTATTGTAAATACATCAAAAATATAGATGTTCCTTTTGTAACACATAATATTGTTTAACATCGTTCTTCAAAATATTCATGATTTAATGCCTCCTCTCTTAGAGATTCTGCATAAATTGTGTGTTTCAAATTCTGCTGGCTAGAAAACATTGTGGGTTTTATTCACAAGAACCTTCCTTTTGAGCAACATGTAGTTGTAAATGGGTTCCACTGTATGTCTTTGGAGTACAATTTTCTAAGATACCAGAGTATTATCTTCAAATATTATCATTTTTTGTCTTTTGTGTTATTTTAAAATAGTCAATAGTTTCCTATTGGGAATTTTTTAAAAAATGCATAAATCAACAGTTGCCTTCCTTTCCCATTAACATTCCTGTAACAAGTTCTTTGAGCTGATTTACTACTACACTGCATAAATGCAACTCCAGTTTCAAAGACTTGACTCCAGAGATTTCTCTAGGAATCACTTGTAGATCTGCTCTTCCTGGTGATATGTAAGAGGAAAATCAAATGAGATGTTATTTTTTCACAAACAGCATGTACAAAGCTGCCTAGAAGAATTGAATATTTGAATATTTTGATTCTGGTCACACAAGTGTGTGTCTAGTCTTGTGCAAGTCTTTTTTATAGACCCTTGTGTAAAAGTGGGTCTTACTTGTTTTTCTAGTTATTGCATCTAGAGTCCTTAATTTAATCACTCCTTCATTATGTAAAGTATTTGTAGCTTTGTACATAGCAAGGTGGGACAATAGGATCACGCAAAGAAATTCTGGTTGTGATAATGTAAAGATGTTTATATTGTGGAACTATTTGAAAGTTGTTACATCTTTATTATTTTCTTCATCGCTTATCATTATTTTTATAGTTAACATTTTAAGAGTTTAATGCCACAGTTGTTACAGAGTTCAGTGGCATGCTTGTTTGCAACAAACATCATGGCCAAATATCTTAATTTACTTGCTGGAAGGAGAACCTTACAGTCTGGTAAATTAGGTCGTTATTCCATTAATGTCTTATACATAGCTGTAAAATGTTTTTGTCTCTTAGTATTTGTGATGTGTGTGGTGAAAACATTAACTTCGTACTGTTACACGTGTGAGATTTAATATGAATGTGATTTTACACCTTGTCATTTAACAATATTGAAATCACATTTAAAATGATAAAATTTAAAATATTTGTGCTTAATATTGTATCTACGATGTTAATTTACATACAGCTATTACTATTACTACTATTTAAAGGTGTTTATAACATCATAAAATATATGTTGCTTGAACAGCTACTTAACGAAAAAGTTAACTTCATTTTGTACTTTGCATGTCAAGAATTGAGTCCCCAAGTTCCTCCATCTAAAGTTTTCTGTGTGAACACTGAAATTCAAGATATTTAGAAAGCAGTTTTTAAAATTTATTGCAATGTTTATTGAATGAATGAGGAAGTCAATTAAAAAGTAAAATAAATTATTTGTTACCTCAATTAATTTTTTAAAATAAGTTCAATGAAACTTATGATTTTAAAGAAAAATTACTTTTATACACTGATTTACTCTTTAATATTTCTTTAATGTGTTAGTACTCTGAATGGGTTTCAGAACAGAAAGAATTATTTTCTCCTGATATGTAATATGTTACTCATTACTCTTCACAAATTAATTTAGTTTGTTTGTTTTTACTTGTTCAGGGAGGTCTCTGTGCATTGTGTACTTTTGGTTCAGTAATGAATTGCAATATAATGTATTCTATTCCATGTAAAATGAGCATTTAAGTTAATTTGTACAAATGTGAAAGTTGTTTACTTTATAAGAATGAGAAGCAGTGTTTTAAGCCTCTTGTAAATATTTATAAGAAATAGTTAAAATGACAGTTGTAGCCTTACTCATGTGCCGGATGTTTTAAACTGTAGCTTTGCATGAATTCCACTTTCCAGAATTTTTGAATGCTTGTGTGAGTAACTGCAGTGGTGATGAAGCCATTAGTGTTGCTAGTTCATTGAATTCTTTCTCTGCATATTCTCTACCAACTGTGGTAGATAATGTAGGATGTATAGACAAATGTACAAATGGAGGAATGATGTGTAAATGTGTTATGAATTGTTATCCCGGTACTGTTAATCAAACTAAATATACTTGTCACATTAAAATGCTAAATACAAATATTTTTTATGGAAAGTACAATGAGCCTTTGAATATTTTGCCTGAGCTAATTTTGCTACCCTTAAACGAAAATGTCATTTATATGCAATGGTTATTTTGTTACAAAAATATTTTCATCTTTTTTGCTATTTCTGGCTGGAGCTTAATTTATTTAGTATTAAACTTCTGACTGATCTACATTGTTCAAAATGTTAACACAGGTATGTGATATATTAATATTAATTTCTATTTTCCAAAACAATTAATTCAAAATGGTCTCTTGTATACCAGACAATTTTTAATTTACTAGCTAGTTAGCAGGGATATATTCTCATGCTCCTTTAAAACTGGATGAAACTTCTAAAATATATATTGGTAAATTGTTGTGAATGCTACTAATTTCCACTTAAAATATTAAACAAATTAGGGAGAAAACCTTGTTTATACCAGACAATTTTTTATCATCAAGCATTTAAAATATTGTCTGTTTCTCACAACTAAAACCTCAAAGTGGTTTCCCACAATTATATATTACAGTAGGTTTTGAATGTAATTATCTGACTAAATTCGCTTTTTAAAAATTTATTAAGAAAAGAAAATTTTAATTTACATACTAAATAATTACAAAAACTTTGAAAAAAGTCAAAGTAGTGAAAAAATCTTTAAGATTCATATAATAAATTCCAATGAGAAGAAATTAAACTTTATAACTCATTGCAGCAAAGTAAACAATTCATTTTGAACAAAAAAATTAAAAATTGAAATTTCTTGCCAAGTTGATAACTCAAGAGTGTACTTGTTTAAATACTGGTCCTTCTTTTTTTTAAAAATGGTATGTTTTCTTTCAGAATATAGACAAAACCTGATTCATATTTTATTAACTGAATAAAATAGTCAACAAATATTTCTCACGTTATGACTTCATAAATATTTTGTTGCAAAAATTATTGGGGGCCTGAATACCACAGAGGCCCTAAGTATGTAACTGGTGAACATATGTATTAATTCACCACTATGTAATAGGACTGGGGATAATGTAATGGGTAATGGGACTGGGGGTAATAGACTGTTCGGAAATGTGTACTATAGTTTGAGAAGCCCTGCTTTGGACAATAGCAATTTCAAGTTATGTATTGTTCATTTTTAACTTCCCAAAATTTGGTTCTCAAAAACAGTATTCCTAAGTCAATTAATCAGTCAGTTATAATTGCATAACCTTGATGTATATTATTCTGGGCACAGCATTCTCATTTGTAATGTAGTTCAGTGGATCTTTACAAATTTGTTTGTAGATGGCTGTTTAGAAAGATAGTTTCAATTTAAATTGAAAATATTATAAATTAAGGAAAGTTTCCAAGTACATCTGGAATTGGGTATTATTTTGAATTTTCTTTCGCTACTATGAATCTGCTCTTCGTATGTAACCTAAATCTATTGTCTTAAGTAAGTTCCAAATTCTGAATTATACCAGGACAGTAAAATGGTTGTTTTTCCCATGCTTAATTATTCATGTTTGAAGGTTTTATGAAAGATTAAATATAACATTTTTAAATTTGTTCATAGACTAATATGAAGTTTTAATATAATTAATGAATAATTTTCTCTTCAATGTTTTGAGAATTTTATGTGAAATATTTTTATTAATGAGATAAAATTAAAATCATTTTAATCATAGGAGCAGTTTACCATGTACAGTTTCAACTTGAAATATTCTTAGCTAGTTATTTGATGAATCCTCTGAATTATTTAAATTAGGCGCCAATGTTTTACCAACTTCTTGGTATTGTGATGATCTGGGCTAGCACGGTACTTTTCGAAATGCATCATTGGCACGGCAGAAACGAAAAAGAAACTTCACATGATCTATGCAAGCGCACGATTGATGTTATGACGCTGATTAATCCACTTTTCAACTCCTTTTTCGTGTTACGGTGAAATACAACCTCAAGGTGACGTCATATTCGCCGGCCGGGCGCTATAGGTTTGTGCAAGGGTAAGCAAACAAAACAATAATGTAATAAATTTATTAAACAAGGGTTTCAATTTAATTGTATTTCGTATTTTACATACCCACAGCAATGAATGTCTCGTATGTTGTAGAGAGCGATAGATGCTGACGCTCATGCTTTCGCCGACGTCTTCAATTCCGCCACTCTTACGCATCGAAATAAAATAGTATTAGAAACATTTTTTAAGAGCGTTACGTCCAGTATTTTTTATTTTACGCTCCATGAATTTTATCCTCTTCGTCTCATTCATTTTTCAGTATTTATTTTGAAACGTATAGTCACTACGTTGCCCGACTGGTTTATATTAGACTTCATTCGTTTGCCGTACTCGCGGCGCAAACCTTTCTCGTAGCAAGTGGGTGGAAGGGTATATTTTCCAAATGGCGGCGACCGTAGCGCAACTGAAGTCGCGATATTGATATAGATTTAGGAGGATTTCTAAGACAAGATTAGTTTGTATTTTAATTTTTATTGTATATATATTGCTGGTGAGTAGTGTGTTGTGTTTCGATTTCAGTGCAAATACGTTTTTCAGGAGTGCACGTACTAGTGACCATGAAAATGTATAGGCGGGTATAAGTCAGTGACAGAAACTCCGGATGTTTCACACTAGCACTTATTTCGTTTTGTTGTTACTTTAAGAAGGTAACAGTTTAGATTTATTGCTAAAATCGCCGGGGATATTCGTTTAGTATGTGATTGATTTTGAGTGAACTGTTTGCCAGTGCACTTTGACATTTGGGACATTCAAGTAATTTAAAACTACCAGGGACTGTGCATTATTGAAGCTAAGACTTTAATTGTTATTGAACTATTGTGTGTTATTTTCAGGTTGTTTTGTGGTAGAACTTGACACACCTCAAGATGCCAGCGGTGCGAGGTGATGGAATGCGAGGGCTGGCTGTTTTTATTTCAGATATAAGGAATTGTAAGTAATATTTGTATTAAACATAATGTCTGTTTAGAATAAAATATCTTCAATTTAATATTTTCCAGTCCTTTAAAGAAGATATAATATTAGTATGATGTATGTGATAGTAAGTTTCATGTTATTCAAATGAATAACTTTGGATATTCATTTGTATTACATCTGGTATGTAATTTATGTTCAATTTGCAGTTTGTGCTGTTCATATTTTTATAGAGGAATTCTGGGTTAGGGAAATTGTTAACCTATTGGTTTTAACAAATTAATAAATTTTTGTGGTTAGGGTTGGAAAAATTGATATTCACTTATATTATTATTATTATTATTATTGGAAAAATGCTATATTTTCCCCACAATGTAATAGTTGAATTATGTATAGGGGAGCAGATTTTAAGTGGCATACATTTGTCCCATTTGGTAAAAATTATTTGTATACGTGTGCCATTTCAATGCCTTGTGTATTAAATTACCTATAGACGTTATCATAGAGCACTTGACACGAGAGAAAGTAGGACTGGTGTTAAACGGGAAGGTTGGCTTTCTCGACTGTCAGTGTCTGTTCAGCAACATAGAGATTATATTACATCTTGAGGCGCAGGGGCAGCAGGGGCTTGCAGCCACAAACAGTAGGGGCGTCCTGTTGAGATAAGAGATAGGAGCGAGGGCGGTCGTGCTTGTTCGTTCGCTCGGCACCATCCAGCCATCTGGCTGTATTGCACGCCCGGCTTCCGCTGCTATCTCGACGCGTGAGGCACCGCCCGTTGCCCTCTGCCACTCTCTCCCAGATTTCATTTGCTTTGCTGAATGGATGACTTTTCAACGTTTTTCCAAGCGTAGTTTTCCTGTGGATTTTGTAACGGCGGTTCCGCGTATAGTTAAGTCGACGTGGGTCAAATCGTCATTGCTCGGTCACGGCCACTAGGTTTGTTCTTGTGTATCAGAAGGTCACGTCGGGGGATTTCTTACAGGTGGAAAAATCATGGTTGAATGCACTCCGCTTCGATGTGCGTACGGTAGCATCGCACAGTTGGACCAGTCCAAAACAATTTGGTCGAAGGTGGTACTGACGACGTAGATATCCTGACCGGAAACCGCTGCAGGCAGCAGCGACAACTTGCTCGGATATGCAGACTTACTTCGATTGGTACGAAATAATAGAAGAGGGGGGCCGAGCGCGTCTCGAGGGGCAACCGCTTCGGGGGCCGGCGACCGCTGCGCCGCCACTGTTTTGTTTTTTCGCCTGAGCCTGAAATCTGGAATGTTGCCTAATAGTGTATGCCTTCCACATAATCCGTCGGCAGCCCAGTTATTTGCTGGCTCACTACGCTCCACCGCGGCGCCTTCGCGCCGGTTCATCCTCGTTTGAATATTTCTGATCGATATTTCGGGTTAGTTCCACGCGAGAAGACGCGCGTCTGAATGCCGGCTTTGCTGCGTGCCGCGGGTGAATTCGCGCTGTCGTACCCGGAGACCGCTATCGCGCGGATGCTCTGGATTTCCGTCGCCGGGAACCTTACCGGAGGCCGCGGCGGATCGATGGCGGAGGTAGTTTTGAGACGCGTGGCGAGCGCGCGCGCGCCTTCCCTCACCGCCCGCCCTCCAAGGGCGACGGCGGCGACAAAAGCTGAGGCCGCGCTTCTGATGCCGTTACCCTCATTATGTCATTGACCAATTCTTAGGTCCACTCGTTGCATATAGAGCACGCGGGCGGACGACATCGCTCCCGCCGCCGCCACCGCGAGTCACCGTGGCAGGGCTCCGGTGGAGGTGGGGGAGTGCTGGAGACGGCTCCATGAGTGTGTCTGGGAGTGGGCTTGCGGGGGCGGGAAATGAGGCTGGGAGAACCCCTTCGGCGCCGGCTCGGGTTGACGTCACGGGTAGGCGCGCGTTGGCGGGGGAGGAGCGAAATCGACGGGTCCGTAGTGAGCGGCAGGCTTGTAAAGTCAGCTGGAATGTCTCGCCGCGGGCACTGCTGCTAACGGCCTTGGGGAGGTGATGACGTGCACAAATGTTCGCAGATGATGATTTGTTAGATATTAGGGAGAGTTGGCTGAAGCGCGCATGAGTGCGCGATGGTAAAGACCATATTTGTAGTTTTAACAGCTTCAATTAAAAGCTGTTGAAGTGTTTCGTTGATTCACATGGTTATAATCATTGTTAGTTCTGTTCCAAAGCAATTGAAAGATGGTTGTAATAGTGTGTTGTTTTTTAAATGTTAATTATTTTTAGTAAAGATATTTGAATAATTATCTAATCTCTTAAAGTGGTAACATGAAGTTGGGAGGGAGCTCTTATTCTCAAAAGCAATCAGCTTTTTTTATAAAATCATGTCATTATATGGGCACATCATATCATTATGATCATTTACGATTATGTCCATTGGAGAGAATTGCACGAAATACCGTCTTTAAAAAGAAATAAACGAGTAGATTGTATTATTGAAATTCGAAAACAGGGCTAGGAGACGCCAATCTCGTCAACTCGTGAAATTTTATTTTGACGTGCATACGAATTTATTCTTGAAAAATGCCGTTACCGAGAAAACGTAAATATGTGAAGTGCCTTCACAAATAAATCCTTGCGTTATCTCACTTTTCAAATGGCACCCTACATTTTCTCCGAACCACTTTTTCCTTTTAATCATTAGTCTTGAAAGTACGTCACTATTCTGAGGAAACTCTTAAAACTTCGAGATTCCGTAGAGGAAACGAACTCTTTTTCATTCACTCACGGTAGGCTTTTTTACTGTACTGTACTTTTGCGTACTAGGTTCTACGTTACCGAGGTATTCTGAAGAATTAAATTTAGCCCCTTGGTTGTTGTGCATTCTTGCCTGAGTATAAATCATTTCTACAACGAGTATCCAAGTCTATTGTTTGAGAAGATTAGATTACCAGCGAAGACTTGATGTTAAGGAGGCGATTGACTGGGTGTGACCTTTTTGTTAAAGGCGTTGAAGAGACTGAACGGTCGCTCTGTGGTATTTACAGCCTGCCCGAACCCTGAGGTGGGTTTTCAGATATCTCCGCATGGAACCCATCAAGGCAGACATACTTTCTAAATCGCATTCCTTAAGAGAGGGATGTATCTGACCTTCCCCCATTACGTCTCCTTGGCCTCGCACACATTAAATTCTTTCCGTCCGCGCTAGTTACCCCGCGGGTGCAGCGACAAGCGATAACACTGCCAACGAGCTGTTTTGTGGAGCGTGAATCCCCCGATAAGCAGACGCTGGCTGGGCGATACGAGCCCGGGGCGCGTAGTTTTGCTCTGCCCGAAAACGATCCGTCCATCAAATGTATCAGCGCTGAAGGGCGAACGGAAAGGCAATGAGCGGGGCGGGGAAAGGGAACGCACAGGGGTGGATGAATGCGAAAGGAGAATGCGTAGGCACCAGCTTATAGCGCCCGCAGGGCGAAGTCCCACCAATTAAATTTTTAACAAAATTTAATATTGGTTTCACGTATGTACTTTGGCTCACCAAGGGCGGGGTGCTCATGGAGCTTCAGCCCCCACCTCTCCAACAAGCCAATGAAATATTAAAAAATGTACTTTTTACCAATTTTTATACTAACGAGTCGGTAACTATATCACTTGTTTACTCTATAAATATTAAATTTGTTAATGAATAAAAATACTCTTTATATTCAGCGTACATTAAAATTTCGTTAAAAGAGAACATAAATTCGTCTGGATACCTTATCTCCCCACCCCCGTGAAAAATCCTGAGTGCATCTCTGCATATATAATAATAATAATAATAATAATAATAATAATAATAATTATTATTGTTATTAATAATAATAATAATGATAATGTGTAAATTGCAAAAGTTACTTTTTTCATAATCTTAGTTGAACATGTTTAATATTTCAATAGTGTTTTAAGCAGTTTCGATATGAATCCGGCTCTGGGAACGAGGTGCGTAGAAGGCATCCGAAGTGCTTTAGCGTGCGCCATGCGACGCGCGGGCCCGCGCAGATCGTTGCCAGAAGTCACGTAACAAGGGCAAGGTGTCAGTGGAGCGGCGTTGCCCGCGCCCGCTCCCGGGACGCGGAAATAAAAATATATTGGAGGAGAACTGACATGCGTTTAAACCGAGTGCTCTTTAGCAGTGAGTTTGAGGTTAGGCGGGGCGGATCCTGAGACGAATTTTGGGAGCGGAAATTGTTGCATTCAAAATGTTTTGGTCGAATGTGTCATTACAGATTATGTCGTATGACGCAGGCTAAACTTAGCTCACGCTGCGATTCAATTTTGTTTTAATGTTTGTACGAATGTTTAAGGGTTGTACGAATGTTTAAGGGTTGTACGAATGTTTAAGGGTTGTACGAATGTTTTTACTTTTTTTTACTAAATAAGTCACAATCAAGGTAAAATTAATAGTTACTGAAACATTTCGGGATGAAAAATTTCCCTCAATTTCCTCCCCGTGGATCCGCGCTAGGGTTAGGAATATTGATGTTCGGTCGTTTTAAAGAGATTCGAAGTTTGCCACACAAACGTTTTGAGATGCTTCGCCGCGTTTATTCTCGCAAATTGTCAGTAGTGATAGGCGCCTTTACACACTAGACATAAAACCACAATATTAGCAAGTTTGGAATTATGTGAGTTAGCAAATTGTTTTCATTTAATCTACAATCGCTACGTGGAAATGGGATCTACAGTTGACGTTCTGGGTGATGAGTTATTTATTTGTGAAATTATTCTGCCCTTTTTATATGTGGACATTCAGCGATTCTATTTTATGTTAAAAGAATCTGTGAACCAAGGTTAGTGGCCTTGTAGCATGTGCTCCGCGTGAACCTAAAGCATTTGGATATGCATAACCTTTCATTATCTTAGAAGTCTTGCATCTTCTGTTAGAGCGAAGATTGCGCGAGCAGGTGGTGCATCCCCCCTTGAACGTTTTCAAAGGGTAGCCATTGTGATTAAACATCTTAATTCTGTTAATATTTTAAATCTATTTTCCCCTTTTTAAACAGACAATTAGGATTTTACAAAATTTTAGGTTGCTTTAGAAACAGCTAAGGTCATGAGCTTTCAATTATTTTATGTTAGTAACATTTAAAAAATATAATAAAATTGAGTAATTACAATTTTCATTGCAATTAATTCGACAAACCAGTAAATTAGGGTATTTGTGTAGATATGAGAAAGAGGCGCTCCACACTGGTAGTCCTATCATTAATTCTACACGAAACCATTTTTAATTATTCGTTAATAGTAATCATTGAATTAATAATTTGATTTGATTGACACTTGCTATCCGCATTACGATTAGTTGTTCCATCGTACATAACTCGAAAAACCGTGACAAAAGTCCTTAAAACTCGGATTTCAGGAGCCTAAATTTACCTGGTAAGTTTTTAGTCCATAACTTACAGAAAGACATTGTGGAGGTTTGACTTTTCTCAGTACCCCGTCGGTTTGCATGGGTGTTCAGCAACGTACATTCTCAAAATCTATGTAAAATTAAAATGATATTCTGTGCGATTTCATTGTACGAGTCTTGTCTTTCTGTTAATAAAGATTATCGTTAGTACAGTATGTTAAGTTTATCCACTTGTATGTCGTGTCGTAACGAACAATTTAGGGCAAAGTCGTTGGAACTATTGTTCCAGCATCTAGTAAACTATGAGAAAACAATCGTTAATATAATTATTCTTATTTTCGGACGCGTTAACCATTGTCATGTCTTGTAAGTGGAGTGCATGATCTTTTTATCACGGAAGGGGACGGAGTTCTTCCCCCTCTGGATGGCTAAATCGATGAAGTAAAGTTATCTGACTGTATACTCGTATTAGTTGACTCCTGGATCTGCGTTATGTGAACGCTGAGTGTATACGTTTACGAGCCCATTCTTATAATTAGTGTTTTCGCATCTTGTCTACACGGTTACAGATCAACTTTATCCAGTTGCCAGCCATAAGAAATTGAGATCAGAATTGTAGGTACGAGCAAGCGATGAACAATTGAAATTTGCCACCTGTTTAGGACTAGGTTTAATTTGTTGAACGGTGCTCTCACACTGCATATTTTGGTTTTCAAAGCTCAGACCATCCATGCAGAGGCAAGCTGTGTGCGAAGCAGATTTGCGAAATGCTTTCAGGGAGTACTTAAGTGTTCGATACTATTGATCACTTGATAGAATCATTTCTCCAGCGTCAGTCACTTTTCGATAATAAAGCACCCCCTAAAAATATGATTGGATGATAAAAAAAATCCTTGGATAAGAGGCTCTCCCAGTGGCGTAATGTTCGCGTCCGCAATGCGGCAGGGTCCAGGTTAAACAGGGCCTTAGTTTTAGGGAATGTTTTTATTATTTAATGTACTAAAACTACTTTGTTTTCTATTAAGTTTCAGTGCCAGGATAAGGTGCCAGGATGCCAGTTAAGGTGCCAGGATAAGAGCTTTGCGGGTCCTCTCATATTTCGTTAAACTACTGGGCTCTCCTTATCATAGTGATTGCTCTAATTAATTTTATTAATTAGCAGTTATGGGAATTGGCAATGTTGGATTTGTGTAGCAGACATGTCTATTTGCATTTCGTAATGCATCGAAAACGACTGCGGAAGACCTTGCATTCTTTCGTATATTCTACAGTCGAACCGCTGTCTAAACGGCCCGCGGCCCCGCCCCCGAACCTGGGCTCTCCACCGCAGAAAAAGGCGGGAGGGCAGCTCCGCGGTGGAAGAGGGTTTAAGGAGACGAATCTTCTCGTGCACCTGCCTCGCGGTCAACAACCTCCGACCTGACCCCCGCTGCTGGTGCTCATGGCCCATCGCCCTTCCAATCATTACGGCGGTCTCATTGTGCCCATGCGGAGCCTTGAGAATCTTCAAGGAACACCTTCGTTGCTTTAAAAACGAGATAAAATAAATGTGGTGTTGGAAGGACGACTCTAGAATGTTGGAGAAATATTAAGTGGTATATCTCTTTACACTTCAGATGCGAGTTCTTGCTTACTGACCGTTATTCACTTTAATAGCTAATTGCTGATAATTTGTTATAAAAATACATTTTTTGAGGCATTGAGAAACTGCCAAAGAAAAATATGGGATTTATATATCGTTTGGAAAAAATGTAAAACTATTAGGGTTCCTCCTTGCATTTAACATTGAATTTTACAGATCATGTTGAAATAACAAGTTTTTGACTTTCAAGCAGGAAATATCATTAACCCCAGTTACTAAGCTGGTCATTTAACTTTTTTCTGAAAATTATATATGACTGAATTTCGTTAAACACATTAATTTATGTATAATCATAAAAGTTGATTTCCTTTTGATTACAGTCATTTTATTGTAATTGTATTCATTTAATGATTTGAGATACTTGATAAAATAAGTTGTCTTTGTTCACATAGAAGATCAATGCAAATATTTCCAGGATGGTATAATGTGACAAGTTATGGAATTATTCACAGGGATCATAAAGTTAATCTAGATACGATGTTATTACAAAATCCCTAATATTGTGAGATTGCCTTCAAAAAGTGTTGTTGGGTTTGTTTAATTTTTATTTTTTAAATTTGAGGACAATGTGGAGATGATAGTGAAAAGTTGAGGGGGTACAGTACATAAATTGGTTGACCACATTTAGTGATGTAAAGTTGAGAGGCATAAAATGAAATAGTTTATTTCAGATATTTTCAATCACACGTTCTTGTCAGGGAGTTTGTTGCTTTCATGAAAGGACAGTCTGACTTGTCCGCACTTCTAGTAATTTGTACAGTGATTTCTCTACAAGGACTTCAAACATCCATCCATAAATCCATGTATCCATAAACTAAATTTAAAAAAGTATCCCATTAAACATGTGTGTTACAAAGTCATTGTAAGATACTTCTTTGTTTGGTATTGATATTCCTTCAGACTGCTGAGACTCTTACTTCATGCCTAGAACTGCTTGAATTTGTGTGAGCTGTAAGGCATTTGACATTATTATTGAAAGATGAGCTGAGGTTATCTGTATAAAAGAAGCATTTTAAGAATAATTGGTATTAGTTTTATGATATTTAAATTGTTTTTGAAATATATTTTATGATTGAAAATTACTAGTTCAAAACTAAATCTTAATGCGTCTGTGAAAAGTGAGAATACGGATGATTATGAAAACAGAGATTTGTGATCACACAGAGAAAAGGTTAATAACTAGAAATATTTGCTTTCCTGTTGTAGGTAAAAGTAAAGAAGCAGAGATAAAAAGAATAAATAAAGAGCTTGCAAATATACGTAGTAAGTTTAAAGGTGATAAGACACTAGATGGCTACCAAAAAAAGAAATATGTATGCAAATTGCTCTTCATTTTCTTGCTTGGACATGACATCGATTTTGGACATATGGAGGCTGTTAATTTGTTATCATCCAACAAATATTCAGAGAAACAAATAGTAAGTTGTAATTTTTTTCATAGTTTCCTAAGTTCTTCATGCTCACATTGATAACTAAATAGTATATACTACACAATAATCATTAACTTGTGCACAGGGTTATCTCTTCATATCTGTACTGGTAAATACTAACAGTGATCTCATCAAACTTATCATTCAGAGTATCAAGAATGACTTGTCATCAAGGTAAAATAACTAAAATTTCATTGTTACCTTTTTATTATTTATTTATTTATTTATTTATTTATTTATTTGACATTTCGTAAAATCAATTATTATTCTTTCAGGAATCCGGTTCACGTCAGCCTGGCACTTCAGTGCATAGCAAATATTGGTAGTAAAGAAATGGCTGAGGCATTTGGCCATGAAATTCCGAAATTGCTAGTTTCTGGGTAATTATTCTTCAACAATATTCTTAAGACAAATTAAGATTGTAACTTTACCTGGGATAAGCTGTCCTTCAAAAGTATGCAACATATTTTGCTTTTAACTTCAAATAATTGTGATAACTTCTCACTTTCCCGGCTTACAAATAAAGTTCATGTAGATTTTCAAAAATAATTTAAATTGTAGTTGGAAAAATATTTGATTAATTACTTCAATTTTCAAAAAACATTAAAGCATTAAATTAAATTGTTATTTAATTCTGCAAAAAATATGTTATTGGGATTGTTAAAAATAATCCCCAAAATTAATGAAAGGAATTATTCATTTTATTTTTTTTTTTTTTCTTTCAACAGTGACACAATGGATGTAGTTAAACAGTCAGCAGCCCTGTGTCTACTTAGACTTTTCCGAACTTCGCAAGAAATCATCCCCAGTGGAGAATGGACATCGCGTATTATTCACTTGCTGAATGACCAACACATGGGTGTGGTAACAGCTGCAACTAGTCTGATAGATGCTTTGGTAAAAAAAAATCCAGAAGAGTATAAAGGCTGCATTAGTTTGGCTGTTTCTAGGTTAAGTCGGGTATGTTTTATTTTAATTTTATTCTGTTTAAAACTAAAACATACTGTGAATGGCCTCTCCTCCCTCTCTCTCTCTCCTCTCCTCTTTTTCAAGTCATTAAGATGTTTTATAATTAACTAATATCACTGCCTCCTGGAATGAGTTGATGTAAAGCATGAAAGTTCTACTAAGATAAAATATTCAGAAGGTTTTGTTTACTTTTGAAATATCTATTTAGCATCAAGGATCTGATTTTAAAATAACATGCAACTTTACAAGACACTCTAGTGGCTGTCTGCTCTGATCAGTAGTTATCCATGGTTTCTCCTATCAATATTGGACAAATGCTAGAGCACTACCTAAACATGTGGACTTCGGACCATGCACAATTTTTCCTTGATCGTAGCTTCTCCTCTCCCCTTTAACACACACATATATTTACATGCACTTCACTATCACACACCAGATTCTTAAAACTTGTGGCTGAGGCAGTAATACATTGAAATAGATACCTGGAAGGGGACCCTGCAAGCTGACACAACAAGCACATATAAGTTGACCTGATGTCCTGAACACTGGTTTAGTGGGAAATTTCTTTTTTGAGTCCCTGTCCTATGTGTGTGTGCGTGTTTTAATAGAAAACTGGACCCCAAAACATCTGGGATTTGTGACTAATCAGTATTGTGCCATCAACAATTTTAAATTTATCATAAAGTTTTCCATTGGGTTTGAATTAGTTTATAAAAAAAATGTGAGTAGCTCATATACCACAGATCACGTGTGTTTCACAGTCTATTGAAATCAAAAAGGGGAGATTCAGTGGTGTTTCTAGGAAGGGAAAATGAGCTATCGCATTATTTGAGCTTGCATATGCTTTATCGCTATTGATATCGTTACAGAGATTGAACCTTCTGCTTCTGTGAGTTTCTATGCATTGCTGTGCAACTTAGGAAGCAATCTTAATTGAGGAGTAAAGTCAACTTTAAATGTATGAATGTGCGATTGAAACAAATGAGTACATTTCTTTGTTTTTTAGTATTGTTTTTCTCAATTTGCTGGTTCTACCCGAACAAACATTTTCCTGATCAAATACAGAGGCTGTTAATCACTCTGTTTCATATAAGTACAGACAACTAAACAATATTGAAAACTGCAAAGTCTGTTTGAATGATATTCATTAGAGTTGTGATACTTGTAGAAGACACTTGTGTTCAGAACTTGTGGTGTATTGACTTTTGAAAAGACCCTGTATTTCAATATTTCAGATAGTCACATGCACAGGTCCTGTTTTGTGTGTGTGTGTGTGTTTTTTTTAGTCAAGAAAATAACACTATCAGGTTTTTAGGTTTTTAAGATCTAGCCACCTTAAGCATGTTTGAAGATATGTGCCAATAGGAGAAGAACACTGCTTCTTCCAAGGATGTAATGTGCAATTCACCTGCGGAACTAATGACCCTAATAGTTGACATGTCTGGAAACTCAAAATAATCATCAGTTGATTCTTGCTGATGAAGCAGCTGGGATTCGCTGAAGTTTGAATCATTTCTTCATGGCATTGGACACAGTACAAGAGTGATTTAGTGATTTTAATTTTTAATCCTGTAATAATTACTTCTGTTTCATTTTTAAAAGCAGCTCTTGATAATTTCATTTATTTGTCTGAGAAAAACAACAACAATGTTGCTAATTAACCCCTCCACACACTTTTTTATGTTGATAAATTACATAATCTTATAATTTTTTAGTGCTGAATTTGTACACTGTAAAATTGTTAAATATTTGTGTTCATGTAAAGTCTCTTCCAACAGATTGTTACAGCAAGTTATACAGATTTACAAGACTATACATACTACTTCGTGCCTGCACCATGGTTATCTGTGAAACTTCTTAGACTGTTGCAAAACTACCCTCCTCCAGGTACTTATCATTAAGAAAACTAGTGGACTTTCTTTTTTTATCTGAAAAATCTAATTTTTTACCCTGTTGCAGAGGACCCTGGTGTCAGAGGTCGTTTGAATGAATGTTTGGAAACAATTCTCAACAAAGCTCAAGAACCTCCTAAATCAAAGAAAGTTCAACATTCAAATGCGAAGAATGCTGTATTGTTTGAGGCAATTAGTCTTATTATCCATAATGATACTGAACCAAATTTGTTGGTTAGAGCTTGTAACCAATTAGGCCAATTTTTATCTAATCGTGAAACCAACTTGCGATACTTGGCTCTGGAATCAATGTGCTTATTAGCTACATCGGAATTCTCCCACGAAGCTGTGAAGAAACATCAAGAAGTAGTCATTTTGTCAATGAAGGTTGGCTTTTTCAAAAAATGTTTTGTTTACTATTGTTATACATTTTTCAATATATTATTTTTTTTATGATTTCCTTGTTTCTCAGATGGAGAAGGATGTGTCTGTGCGACAACAGGCTGTTGATCTTCTGTATGCCATGTGTGATAAAAGCAATGCTGAAGAAATAGTTCAAGAAATGTTGAACTACTTGGAAACAGCAGATTACTCTATTCGAGAGGAAATGGTAATATTATATATGCTAATTTTCTTTTTGCTAAAGATGTTTTTAAATTAACCTCAATTTTGATGATGCTCTGGTTTCAAATTGTAGGTCTTGAAAGTTGCCATTCTCGCAGAAAAATATGCTACTGATTACACATGGTATGTCGATGTGATTCTGAATTTAATAAGGATAGCTGGTGACTACGTATCAGAAGAAGTGTGGTATAGAGTTATTCAGATAGTTATAAACAGGGATGACGTTCAAGGATATGCTGCGAAGACAGTTTTTGAGGTAATGGGTTTTCATCTCTCATGAGTGTTTTAACTATTATACATCATATATTTAACTATTATTTTATAACTATTAATATTATATATTAACTATTATATATTTCTATAGTATTTTTTTCATTTTACAGGCTCTTCAAGCACCTGCTTGCCATGAAAATATGGTAAAGGTTGGTGGTTACATTTTGGGAGAGTTTGGAAATCTAATTGCTGGAGATCAGCGGTCATCACCGCAAGTTCAGTTCCAACTTCTACATTCCAAGGTAGTTTATAGACTGAAAGAAATGAAAAAGAAGGGGAAAAATAATAAAAGAAAAAGAAAAAAGTATTTTTTTTCAATGCAGTTTAACAACAATCTTCTTGAATATTTGTTTCCAGTATCATCTTTGCTCACCGATGACACGGGCATTGCTGTTATCAACGTACATTAAGTTTGTAAACCTCTTCCCAGAAATTAAAACCCAAATCCAGGATGTCTTTAAACAGCATAGTAATCTCCGCAGTGCAGATGCTGAACTTCAACAAAGAGCTTCTGAATACTTACAACTCAGCATTATTGCTTCTACTGATGTTTTGGTGAGTAAACATTGTACTCTTAAAGGTAGTGTACAAAATTGACTGTAGAATTTCTCTAAGAAGGTTTTTGTAATTAAAGGCCCTCATTTGCTTGGAGATCACACTTTGAAATTGACAAAGATGATATAGCCTTTCAAACGCAACGTTTGCATTATGTATTTCAACAAACGTTTTGATTGAAAGTAGAAAAAAAGGGTTTCAATATTACGTTTATACATACTTTTCAATTTCTTACAGAATTTGAAAGAACCTAGTACATTCTATAGGACCTTCAGATTTTTGGTAGTTTTGTCTCCGTTACATGATTTGTTAACTTAATAGTACATATACTTATAGACTTCATCTTATTTTCAAGTTAAAAATAATGTTGGATCTTCTATTAAGAAATTTTGTTTTGTTATTACTACTAATTTCATATTAGTTATGACCAGTAAGACTTTCTGATGAAAATTAATTTTATTCTATTTGTATTCCAGGCAACTGTGTTGGAGGAAATGCCTGCATTCCCTGAGCGTGAATCTTCAATCTTAGCTGTGTTAAAAAAGAAGAAACCGGGTCGAGTTCCAGAGAATGAAATAAGAGAAGGCAAAAGTCCTGGCCCCACTACAAATCATCAGACAGAACAACCTCCTGCACCCGTGAGTGCTACAATAAGTTGTATAACAAAACCTTTTTTGAAGTAGGGAAAGTCAAACGTTAAGTGTTTTAAGAGCCCTTTAGATAACCGAATTTGTCGTGCCACGTGCTTTACATTGCTTTCCAAACATTTGAGTGTATAGTTTTCACCATTTTTACCCGAATATAAGACAAGGTGTTTTCCAAAATATCTCTGTCTGAAATTGCAAGGTCATGTATATAAATACACAGATTAAGTCTAGTTGCTTAGGATTTAGGTTTTTACATTGCCATTATATATCACAATACTTGTGAAAGTTGACGTAACATTATCTGCGAAGACTGTATAAATATTATGCCTGACAATACATAATTATATTCATGTTCGTATTCGCAGCATCTACCGCAAATGTCGGACAATTCAGGCCGATATTTTTGAATGGGCCAATAAAGAGAATATCTAATAGAATGACATTCTATCAAGTGAAACGTTACGTGAAAATGAATGCCAAGAGTGTGTTTCGACGTTTGTCAAAGTCTGGCGAATACGAATCTGCATTTTGAACAGAAATGGAGGCCGTCAACAAGTGCGGGGCAGATAGAAAATCTGATGACACCCTGGAATGTCCTTATTTGGCGTCTGATGAGACTATAAACAACACACAATTTTGTCCGCAAAACTTTCAAGAGGGGTCTAAAAAGTCAGAAAATGTCACAGCATGGAAGGAGGACAAGAAAGGAAGGAAGAAAAACATTGATACATGTGAAGATGAGGGTAGTGACAAAAACCAATATGATATTAAGGAACAATAAAATAATAGTTCAGCAATAAGCCATAACAGTCTCATCAAGGCAATTTTCTAGTCAATAAGACACTTTGTAACTTTATTTTGACTAAGTAGTAAGAATTAGTTAAAAATTGTAAAAAATTTTATGAGGCCCCTTCAGAATTAGGGGGTTGTCTTATATTTGGGTAAATATGGTATTCTCTAAATAACCACCCCCTCCTGTTTTTGTTCTGAAAATGGCAATCTCTAGAAAATAGTTTTTAAACCTCTATTGAATGTTCACCCTTCTTTCCACATAGTGTGCCAAGTTTTTATTCTCTCAAGTTCTCCATATTCTCCCTATTTTGAAAGAAACTGCCTTTTAATAAAAAATGGTAATGTCAGGGAGATGTGTAACTTCAAACCCCAAGTTTCTATGAATAGATTCCTCCATCAGTAGCTTTTTTGCATTGATACGACCTTAGTTGGTCAATAGCTGCTGTGGAGTGGTTGTGCTCCCTGGAAAAGGGATGTGTGTCAATGCAGCTAATGTCTTCAGAGTTAGATGAGGCACATTAAGGCTTGTGTGACGGGCTTAAATGTGCATTGCTTTGAGTGCTTTTTTGTGTAATTTAGTTTTATTTAATGTCACTTATAAATAAATTAGTTTATCCCGCGGATATTTGCTTGGTATTTACATATCCTTTAGTTTTAATGTTGGTAACTCATTTTTAATTAACTACTCATTTTCATTTTGTACAAATTCAAATGTGAATTAAAAACTATCCTTTTCAAAATGTTAGAGGGACTGGGATCTTCAAACTCAGACTGACACTGGCAACTATATTATATTAGCCAAAACAGCAGCAGGTCACTAGAATGTGCTTCACAATGCTAAAACCAAATTGGATCCTGATTCAGGAGTTGGCAAGTTGGGAAAATTGAAAGATGCGTAAATATAAATCATTGTTTTATTAGGTACGAAAGGAAATGCACATTCCTCACATGCTCCATAATAAGTCACAAGCAACTCCACATGATCACAAAATATCTTTGGCAATAATAAAAAGTTAGTGACCTAAAGCTGGATGCAATTGCTCTGTGTACCACCTTTCATTCACTGTGTGGTCACATCTTTGTTTGCAACTGTAAGCCAGCAGTTGCAATATAAAGACAAAACGTATGCTTCTTGTACCTTTGTGTAGTAACACAGCAAATGCTTCCATGTACCTCTGCTTGATACAACCACCACTGCATCTTGTTCTGTACGACACTGGCAAGCATTTCTGCCATGAGAACTGCAACACTCTACTTATGACTGTTATTACACATTCCTTACATTTGTTGATGCTTACATACTACATTTTGCACTTGCAGACTACTAGTTACCTGCATTTACAGATGTAATTTAGTCGTTGCGTCTATTACAGTTTGAAACGGTGCTGATGAAAATACTGAACTAATCACATTCTAGGTTTTGGAATGATGTGGAGCAACTGAACTGAATAAAAAAAATTTTGATTTGGTGGAGTGATTGATCAATTGAATCATCTGACAATAATAGGCATGTAGTTAATGAGATGTGCATTGTTTCAGGCTCCAACTACTAATAATGTCTCTACAGATCTTCTGGGTCTCTCTACACCACCTGCTTCTCAACCTTCCACTACATCAACAAGCAACACTGGAGTATTATTAGATGTTTTTGGGGACATGTATGGCGGGACTGGTACCCCAGCACAGGCAAACAATGTCAATAACTTGGCCCCAGCTCAAAGTACATACAATGCTAAGAAGTAAGTTAATAATTCTGAAACGTTTTTTTGTTGTAATGCCTCTTAATAAAATGTACTACTTTATGTTCTTTCCAGGTTATTGCCAATTTGTCAATTTTTTATTGAGAATTGAAAATGTTTAAATATTGCGGCATTTCTGTTGTATGTTGTGTACATAAATTTTATTGCTTGTACCGCCACCCTACTTTCCATTTTTTAAATTTCATCAGTTTAAATACTAGACCTTCCTTAAATTAATTTGTTTCAGATTTATCTGTAAAAACAATGGTGTATTGTTCGAAAATGATCTTATACAAATTGGAGTAAAGTCAGAATTCCGGCAAAACCTCGGAAGGCTAGGCCTTTTTTATGGCAATAAAACATCATTTGCTCTACAGGTACCTTCATTAAGTGTTATGTCATGAAAAAGAATGTGGACATGGAAAATACCACTAAAATTTGGAATTTTGCTTGCAGAACTTCATGCCAAGTTTATCTATTCCTGATGAACTCCAAGGAAAAGTCAATCTGCAGGTGAAACCTGTAGAACCTGTTCTCGAAGCTGGAGCACAAATCCAGCAGATGCTAAATGCAGAATGCATTGAAGATTATTCAGGTACTTTCATATATGGTTGCGAATTTGTTAGTCTAATTCATTCAAGGAGAATTGTGACAAAGTATTTCTTTTAAATAAATCGGAAAGAACAGAGTTGTGTCCAAATTTGCTGCGAAGCTGAGCCATGAATCTTACCAAGCTTGCCTCACCACAAGCTGATCTCTGATCACTAGAAAGAACACTTAATCCTCTTAAATACACAAAAATAATTTCTATTGGCTCTTCCACATAACTGGTGGAGAAAAAGTATTGCTCAACATTAAATTTCCATGTCCTTATTAAGAGGCCCAAGTGTTAGGAATATTATTCTTCCTTATGCATGTTAATGATTAAAATGTTACATATTAGGTCCCAAGAATCTAGAAAATGAGAATGACCTTAACTGAAATTAGTTGTGTAGCATAATGGGATCAGCAGTCAATGAAAATATACTGATTCCCTACAGTCTCCAATCACATCATATTGTGATTCTGTTGATGCTGAAATTCTGATGAGCGGAATTCTCCAAAGGACATGATCTATAGTGGCCAAACTAGACCACGATACTAGTTATGGGACATAAGACATTAAATCAGGATATATGCTTCCAAGAAGCTGCATTAATAGAGGGTGTGTACTTATTCTATTCCTATGCTGCATGTAGCATGTGATGCATATCTGCCACATATGACCCTGACAAAAAATAGTATTGGTGAATAGTAAATATTAGATTGGGGAAAAAAAAAATTAGATTTAGACTATATTTGCTTTTTATCACAAAATAAATTAATGAACTTACTGCTTGCTGACTGCCAAGCAGTTCTCATTTTGGTAAGATTTTTGAAGATCTATTTAGTGATAAAAAAAATATCAAATTGTAAGGATTATCATGCAACACGATTTACACATGGAAATAGAGGCAATTGGTTATGTGATCAATTCATGCAACTGACCTATTAAATATGTTTTTGTTTTTTCCGGTACTAAAGGCTCAAGACCATAGGCATGCACAGGTTGAAACTAGAATAGGGCTGTACAAAATTTGTCATTGAACGGTTTTATTTACAAATGACATTTTTACTAGAAAATGAATAAAACCTACTAGAAGTAAATTATGACTGTTATAATGCTGTATCACAACTTCCCAAATTGTTAGGCTATAAAGATAGAAAATCAGGGATTGAACATAGTAAGAAAATGCCTGTTTATTATGTATGGTTTCGGGAGCCCCCCTTTGGAAATTTTTAGAAGTATCATGGCCTCCAGGTTTCCCATGGTCTCCTTCCTGTGTGCATTCCTATAATCAACACTGTTATAGACAGTGAGATTTTGCATTCGGAAAACACACATTAGTACAAGTTAAATTTATATTAAATGACTTCAGAAAAAAAATTTAACATAAAGAACAATCATACATTTAGTAGCTTCCTTAAGCAGAGCAAGAAACTATAATGGAAAATACAGTAGTTATAATTTTTACAATACTGCAGAGCTTTTCCCGAAGAGACTTAAGAAATACCACGAATTTATACAATAGTAAATTTGGAAAAGGTGAAAGAAAAAAGTTTGGCTTGCTTCACATTTTCTTCATTCAACCTAAGAACAGATGGTGTTGCTTTCTAGTTGTGAATATTTTTGGAAAAAATGCTTCCCATTTTTTGGAAATTTGAATTCCAGTATGTTTTCTCATTCTTGTTTTTAATTTTAGATACTCCAAGTATGGTTATCTCTTTTTTGTACAATAACGTTCCACAGAAGTTGACAATTAAACTTCCTCTGACAATTAATAAATTTTTTGAACCCACCGAAATGAACGGTGAATCATTCTTTGCACGGTGGAAGAATCTTGGTGGGTGAGTATTTTTATTAGATGGTAAAATTTCTTAAGTTTTTAAATATGTTTTGAATTCGAGCTAGTAGTTAAAACGTAAATATACGGAGGGTAAACCTTTAACCGTGTCCTATGTATTACTTGTCACCACTTTGCAATTGTTGGATTGGCAAATACGTTGGAGACATGTTGAAAGAATAGAAATGTGGTCCAAATGTAGTCGGGTTGCTATTAAGATTATTGTTATTATTTTAAACTATTCAATGTGATATTTAGTCAGTATTTCTAATGTTTTGAACAGTTTAAAATAATAAAAATACCTTTGTTATTTGTTGTAGAATTAAACAATTTCACTTTTAGCGTTTGTTCATTTTATAAACAGTAAATGTTCATATGAAAACTACTTTCTTCATTTTATTTATTTCTTAGAGTATAAACTGAAATTTTTAAGAGCAATGATTTTATTGTTGTTAAAACATTTTTTTGTAGAAATCAGCAACGATCCCAGAAGATTTTTAAAGCCACCCAGCCAATGGATACTACTGCTACTCGGACTAAATTGTTGGGCTTTGGAATGCAATTGTTAGAAGGGATTGATCCAAATCCTGACAATTTTGTGTGTGCTGGTATAGTGCATACAAGAACACAACAAGTTGGCTGCCTCTTACGCTTGGAGCCTAATAAACAAGCACAAGTAAGGAAGTCATTCTTGATTTTTTTTTTTAGTATGGAAAGCAGTCTTGACCTTAATTTGCCCTTTTTCATTATTTAATATTTATTTTCCAATATGGATAAGTTATAAAATTATAAAAGGTCAGTTAATTGCTTGTAACTTGGAACAATGCCAACACTGCAAGCATCATTGTACACTGGTAATTTCAATGCTTACAAAGGGTATTCCATGGAAACAAGCATGCAAGTATGCATTACACTAAGCATGTAAAACTTTTTTGTATACAGAATCCATTAATTAACACCACATAAGTAAAGTTGTGAGCATTTCAAAAAAGTCTTGTCAGAATATCTTCTGTATTATTGGAAATTCAAATTATTTTGTAATAAAAGTTTTACTTAATTGTTTCTTCACAAAGTCTTCTGTCCTAGTTTATTAATGGTTGAACAAAAGTGAATGTTGCGTATAGGTATGTGATTACTACGGATGTCTCACAATATTGGGTTGAAAATGAGTATTAGCTGAGACAGCATTATCACATCTTGTGTAACTCCATTTTGGGTTCTGAGCTTAGCACGACACAAGAACAGTATAACATGTAACATCCGCAAAACTTTTCTTGATCGATGATGTGGAGAAATGAGAGTAGAGTGGGGGTATTAGTTACTTAATTGGTCCCCAAGAGTTTTTTGAAGCAATGCCATCCTCTGGAAAGCCAAAGTATAACCTAGATTGTGATTTAATCCATAACTATATAATTACTTGAGCTCAGAAGCACACTGACTTTGCCTGAAGTGACAAATCATCTTTTATTATAATGAATTCCTTCCTAATAACTGTGCAACTCTAAATAGTAAATAACAAGACAAACTTTTCAAAAAAAATTATTGGCTCTTTTAATCTTTTTTCTGTGTTGTTTTCCTTGTCAAAATATGAGGATTGAACACAAGTCATGACAAAATACTTGTGTGACAATATGAGCATGGGTAGAATATGTGAAATATACAAGTGGTGGGACAGGGCATTAACTTAAGTGCATGTTTCTCGTATTTATTGAAGTATTTGAAATGACAGTACTGGTTTCATGTTCCAAAGCATTTTAGCATATATGAATCCACAACATTCCACAAGTATTACATACCTGTTTTAAAAGCTCAGTTTGGCAGATGATCAAATACCACACCACCTCGGTCCACCCGCTTGCAGGTCTTAATATGCTTTGCTGAACACTGGTTGGTTCGCATCCTCACAGAAACATCCATATGAATTTCATGACTCTGGTATGAAAGCACCTTATTCCCAAGAGGTTCCACTGATTACCTGTAACATTCTTGAGCTTTTCTCCCATAGAGGATTCTCATCTTGGAGTATAAGAACTGCTCAAAACATGTTAGATTCGTCCCGCATGGTGGTAGTTAGACAACAGTTTTCACATTGCTCTGTGCTAATACGCTCTGTTGATGTGATCACATACAGCAATGTACCGCAACCCCTACTGCAGTTTTGTTGATCAAATATTTAGTGTGGCTCGGTTCCTTTGGTTCCTTTTATGATTAATTATTTCTTGTGATTCTGAAGTTTTTATTGGCACAGTTCACTTCAATTTCAATTTGAGTGCTAGAGAATAATTTTGCTGGCATTGGTTAATTTTCTTAGGCCAGAGCATACAATGAGACTATAACTCATTGTAAGCCGTGTAAAGCTATAAATTTTCTATTACGAAACCTTTTAATTCACAACAATCGGCGCACGGAATAAGTCAGTTTTTCTTGCCTCCATCTTGTGACTACACTTACTGAAGAAAGAGTTGAATAGTTTCTCTCACTTTTCCCGCATTTTTTGCAGGAGTTGGTGTTTTATGTTAGAATGTATATTGTTGGCAGTTTACCATTTATTCACAACACTGACAGAAAATTACATTTCGGCCATCTCCACAAATACATTATTTTAGCAGTGCAAGTGTTGATACTTTTGAACTTGCAGCAAGCATGTTTTACTGGAACATTTAACATTCTGATCAGCCGGGTATCAACCTTCAAAACCAATACAAAATTATCAAAGAAAATTGTCCATCTTGGATAAATCTATTTCTAAAAGTGAAAGATGCTGGGAGCGTTAATCTTCAAGACAGATGTGTTCTTAGTAAGGAACATACTAGCTTATTAATGATGGTGAAGATCAGAAAGATGCAAGCAATTTCCAGTTCTTTGAAGCACATTTTTTTTTTTTTTATTATAAACATTTTCAAGTTTTACAAAAGTTCAGCTCACACTCCACATTTGTATTGTTGACTTAATATAAACCTAATCCTAAAAATCACATTTTTAGTGAAGGAATTCTTTATGGGAAGACCTCAGGGGAGTTACATTTCAGAAAACTTTGTAAGGAAGGTATAGAAGGAAAATCTATTTTCAATAGGGTAACATGAGAGGTATTCCTGCCTAACTGGAGGGGATGTATTCTGGAGATTTGAGGAAAGCTATGGTAAAAGTGTGTGGAGAGATGCCTGATGTGATTTTTTTGTAGTTTCAAGTTTGAATTCATTGTGCAGCTCTTTGTTGCATTTGTAACTGTACAGAAAAGCCCTAACAGGCTTTACCGAAATAGATTAACTTATTCTGCATAGTGTCAAATTCATTCATTTTTTGCGGAGTTCCTGCTCATTGTTGCAAGCAAGAACTTGCATGCCATAGAGCTTCTCTAATGGTGGATGCCCTTGTACATTTTACAAGATTGTTATTAGTTTAGTTCAAAATTCACCAACAGGGATTTTTCAAAATTTTATTGTAAAATACAAAATAATTTTAAATAAATATAAAAAGTTCATATAAATCAAAATAGGCTCTTAATGCTTGAAAAGGCAATGATCTGAAATACAGGCATTATAAACCCCTCGCTACAGCAATTTCTTCGAAGAACATGGATAATGGAGTAAGTGGCCTGAAAATACATTCAAAGAAGAAAAAATAGGCAAATGGGGCACTGTCTGAACTAGTCATGATCCATAAAGGGGTCTTGGATTCTAAGTTGGAGGGCTAGGGCTTCGAAAAATTTATTGCACTGTTTCCACATAATATATGTATCAAAAAATGACTATGCCTATAGGCATAGTCATTGAACAGTTAATGCCTATAGGTCTATCCTGTAGTTTGTTAAAAGAGATCAATACTATATCAGAATCTAAAATATAATTTCATGAACCCTAAACATTGCATTGACTTACTATTTACCAAGTTTATATATTCTTCAAAAGTCATATTACTGTCAAAAACTATACCCAAATTCATTACTGTTTTAACTGTTTTCAGTTCAATGTTATCAGTATTTGGATGCAGTTATGGATTTGGATTGTGTAAAAGTTATCAACAATATTTCTAGATTTAGTAAAATTCTATTATGTACAAACCAGTCATGTAATGTACAAAGAGAACATAGGACAATAATATTAGTTCATGATCTTATTCATTTAAAAATATTTATATAAACATTCAGTGAAAATTCTAAAATTTTTCAGACTAGAACACAAGTCATATCACTAAACAGGAGAGGACAAAGGTGCAAACCCTGAGATACTCAAGAGGTTACTTTATGACTGCTGATGTTGAATTTATAATTCTGACCAATTGGAGCTGTAATTAAGATAACTATTAAACCAATCCAACATAAAATACCAAAAGATTGATTCTGGCGATCATAAAACACTTATAAAACTTCAAATGACGTACTGAAATCACAATGGCAACTGCGTAATAGTATTTGCGAAAGAATTAAAATTTTGTTTATAATATACTAGATTTGTTTCTGTTTCTTGAAGGGAAAATTCTGTTTTACTTTGTCAGTAATAATAGACTTGGAACAATTTTGGAATTGTATTAATAATTGATATATGTAATTTGAGATATCATTTCTTGAACCAGTCTTGTGAACTAATATGACAAAAGCTGACTTCCATAAGGAAGGAACTCAACTTTCCTAGAATTATTTTTATGAATAATATTTCTAAAATAAGGGGCAAAAATATAATTATGTAGTTTCTACAGAGTTGCTGGAATCCCACCAGGACTGGCTCTCTTGGTCAGATATCAATTAATGAATGACATGTGGATTGAGGAGATTGGGAGGTGTATTGATAGTAGAAATTTTGTGAAAGAATTTTAAGTATTCGGCATAAGCATCAACTATCTGGTCACATCAATAGAAATTTCAGAATTGTAGAACATAACTGACAGGTAGCCTTTGGTATTCCTTTTTGAGTTTTTGTTTTCAGAAATTTCTGGATCCCAAACATTGGTTAATCGATTCATAGTACGCTGATCTGTAATCAAATACCCAATCATTATAGTCAATATATAAATATTTGTATTGAATATCACAGGTTATAGAAAACCTGGATTGAGTGTTATCTTCAGGCACAACTGATTCATTTGCTAAATTACATATCAAATTTTCATTGTTCTTAAAATTTATATATGATTTCTGATTTATTCAAGAAAAAACACAATGGGAGGTAAGTCTTCAACACAAAAGAACTTTTGTTTCACACCAATGTTAAGTTTCGAATATTGTCATCAGTTCTCACTGCAAGCTTTTACCTTCAAATGTTTCTTGTAACAGAGAGGGTATTCCAATAGTCAAGAATAGTTTTGTGGATAATGCATGTCCCATCAGTACATGCAGTCAGCATTCAAGATCTCGGTCTCTAGAGAAAATTGTGAAAGGTGTAGATGTATTAAATTATTCTCTAATTTTTATATTGAAGTACAGATATGAGAAAATAATTTTGTTTTGTTTCTATAACTATTTGTGTCTTGTAGAGGGTATAATGTTTATTAATAACTTTCATCTGATTGCTTTTTTCCAATACTTCTCTGGCTGATATCATTGGAGGGCCTTTGACTGGAAAGTCCTAGAGTTGAAGACTCCCAGGATGCCAGGATTTTCAACTCTAGCTAAATAGCTCAGTTGAATTCAGTTGCTGTCTGAAGGATAATTCTAGTGGCTGGCTGCTCTGATTGAGTTTACCATGGTTTCTCCAATAAACACCATGTGAATATTCAAGCAGTACCCTAACAAACAGGCCACAGATTGCACACAATCTTTTCTTTCTATTCATAAACCTATTCTTTCTATTCCTAAAACTTTAGATACTCTTATACTTAATGTGCACAAGACCATCACACATTTGGGAGCTTAGACTTGCCCTAACTGGTGCAGTGCCCTGCTGGTGAGATAACTGGATGGGGAAAACCCTATTAGGCCCTGGATAGGTCAGTGCTAGATCTCGCCATCCAACAGGGGAAGACCACTACCCATGATAAAAACACACATGTGTATCCTTCGTGTCTTCTAAATTGACATGTCCAGCCATCCTTAATATTTAGATGTTTTCCTTCAGAACAATGCTTGTAATCAAAGACTTGAACAGGTTGGTCTTCTATTTAATTTTGCCGTAATAACTAGGGACTTATTGAACATAACAGTAGTTTAGTGTTGGTCTTTCAGGAATTGGACCTTTGTTTTCCAAGCTATTTCTTTTGTTTTTTGTGCTAAACTCCCTTGATGAAGCACTATCACATCTCTTAAATGTGAAATAATAGACAGGGAGAAATGTTTTCAGATTACCCACTTGATACATTATTTTTGGTGTTTGCATGATAACCATTTGTGAGTGGATTCTTAATCATAGATGGTGTTTTTTGGAAGTATAGTAACAGGACATTATTTTACACGAGTCATTGTTTGCTAAAAAGATGAAAACCATTTGCAAAGTATTTCAAAAATATATAACCAAAAACTGCTGTTTAAAAATCTAGACTACAAAAATTCAGCAGGTTTCAAAAAATTGTCTGTAAGTGACTGTACCTAATCAAATGTATTGGTTACTACTTGGACATTTAAAGGAAACTAAAATGTGCACAACTATCTACCCAAACATTTTTCACTGATTGGGACATAATTTATGACAATATCCTGAAGGAAGCTTTGCACAAATGTCACAAAATTATTGAACATTATAATTTAGATGTATCAACTATCTTCTCATATGGTGTGTCATTTCTTACATAAATTTCCTTAGTGTGAAATAAATTCCAATGATAAAATGTGGAAGCCCGTGAATGTTTCTATTGAGGGGATGTCTACTGTTAAAGTGCTAACTACATAGAAGGAAAATAATTTCAAAATAATGCAATGTAAAACTAAAAGATGTTAGGGTAGACGCAAGGAAATACAAGGTCAGGTTGATTCTTGAAGCATTACAGTAGTGATAGATTTAGTTCTGTTGTAGAAACAAGAATTTTCACCACAAATTTTTAAAGCCATATTAATGGCTTTAAAAAATAAAAATATTAGAGAATTATATATTGGACTTAACAAAAATGTATCACCTGTTTAAAATTGTGGCAAATAAAAAAATAAAAATCGACATTTGGTTAGAGACTGCCAAGTGATATCTAGGTGAATGCATTTTCACATGTCTAAGAGGTAATTGTATATCTCAATACATCCCTTTTCTTTGAGAATTGAAGAATCCAATTCTCATCCTGTTGTTTAAAGACATAGCTTTGTCTAATTTTGTTGCAATTTTCTGTGTATGGTAAATTTTATTCTTATGCTTTGGGGGTCTTGATACTTATCAGGCAATGTAGTAGGCCTCCAACAAAACTAGTTAGGATGGAACAAATGTTGTGAATAGGTCATTAAAATAAATTTTTGGTAGGGATTGTTACAGCACGTTCGAAACACTTCCTCTTTTTTTCTTTTGTTCAAAAAGTTTTTTTGAAACTGTCTTTACTTCGTGCCTCCTTTTCTTTTAAACTTCCTTGGCTTGTTTAAAATTTATGCTGCTAAGAAAATGAAATTAAATAGTGGAAATGAAGTGGATATCATTATAAGCTGCTGAGAAGGTAGTGGTAAAAGTCACTAAATTATAATTTTTGACTGATCCTATATTTGGAGAGCACTGGATGAATTAAATCCTCAGGCAAAGTGGCATAAATCTAACTTTCATAGTGGTTGTGGGTGATCTGGGCTGTCCGGGTGCGTCGCGTCGAGGCTGAGTTGCCGACGTTTCGACCATCCTGTCGTGGTCTTCCTCAGGCTGGTATGCCACGAGGAAGACCACGACAGGATGGTCGAAATGTCGGCAACTCAGCCTGCGGCGTCACCCGGACAGCCCAGATCACCCACATGACTCTGGTCGCGGAAGCCTACGACTTCATTTCATAGTGGTTGCTTAGTAGCAGTGTAAAATTAAGGGTAAGTTGCTTATATAACTCCACCTCACAGCAGCTCAAAAAAACAGTAAATATAATTTTTTCTCAGTGTGATAACTAATGAATATTTACAGAATTTATATTTCATAAAAATTAGTAATATTGTTAATTCAAATATTTCAAAATCATAATAAATTGCTTGCAATTTCAAGAGGTAATGTCTTACTGTACAATACAATAGATTTTCCCAGTGTTTGAACTGGGAGAGATTATTCAGTGTATGGGATAATTGTGTGAAACTATTTATAATAATTATTTGTTATGTTAATAACTCTTCATTTTTTATGCATTTTGAACTTCAAATGTATTTCTGTTTCAGATGTACAGGCTCACTGTGCGTTCAAGCAAAGAGAGTGTGTCCCAGGAAGTGTGTGAATTGTTGGCTGACCAGTTCTAGTCTCGCCACTGTTATGTGCTTAAATTCATCATTTTGACCAATGAAAGCAAGCGCAAGCTTGTCCTGTACGCCTGTATGATATTATAAATCTATTTAAAGAATGGGTACAACAGTATGGCTGCTCATGTTCATTACATAATTGTGGGATCATAAAAGTGTTGAAATGTTACTTGTCTGCTTTAGTCATAGACAAAAATGTAAAGTAACAAGTTCTTGTTTTAGTCTGATGAGGTTATAATACACAAAATTCTCAAAAGCAATGATGCCTTTTTGTGTCAACAGGGGCTCAATGCTTAATGAGTGATAATTGAGAATGCACATTCATATTAGTGTCATTGGATAGAAACAAGAATTCATGGATTTAAAATTGATTGGTCAGAGATATGTGCCGAGTGTTTCTGGAATGATTTTAACAAGATGTGCATGCAGTTGTATTCTTTGTATGTATTGAATTTTTTCAGATTCAATTCTTGTTGATCTAAACTTCTTTTGCTCTATTTAAACTAGATGTGTGGGAAATACTTTTGTTATTGTTTACATTGTGATGTAAACTAGTAGGCAAAAAGTAGCAGTTTTTCCCTATATGTCTAGCAGGATGCTAGGACCAGCTATGTCAAAATGGTACTAATATGAAATGTATTGTTGACTTGAAGATTATATCAAGTCCTTCCTCTCTTCTTTTTTTGTTTTTGGGATGCAACGGGGACTCATGAAAGTTGTACATACTTGTCAGTTAATGCATATAACAAAAGATGTATTGATGTTGTAGGTTTTTATTTTTAAGCCCGGCTCATCCCAAATTTCTGTAAGTAGCATTTGACATTTGGGCTGTGTTAACAGTACAGCAGAAAATGTGAATATTTTGTTTTTGTATTACATGTTTTCTATTAGAAGTTTATACCAAGAAATTATTATACTTTATTTAATAATGCATATAATATACTCTTGTGTTTTCACTTCTGATGTTACTCTGGATGTAGATATTGTTTATCCCTTCCAGATCCTGAAGTTGCACATAATCATTAGCATGTATGGTAGGGTGTGATACTTGTGTGGATGTGGGTAAAAAGAGAGGTTGATTGAAGTCTGATCAAAAGCAATTTAGTACCTTAAAAAAAGAATCTACATTTTGTGGTAAGTTTTTATTTAATCATCCAAATGTATTGCAGTGTAATGTTGATGTATATACAAAAGCTATTGCTGAATTATGAAAATGTGTGTTCAGCCAACAAAGAAAAAATTTAAAGTCCTTGTTCTTTCATGTTACTGAAATGTTTTTGTTCAGTCTTCTGAAGGAAAAAAATAAATTAAAATAAAAAGATGTGCAAATTATTTATTCAAATAGTTAGGGAAAAAAAAACAGAATTTATTAGCAGGACCCAAGTTTAGTGCACAATCCTGGAGTTGGAGCATTGAGTTGTAATAAAAACAATTCACTTGTTCTTATTTATGTCTGTGTTACCTTTTTAATCAAGATTGCAGAAATGTAATTTATTTTCAAAAAAATGAACATTTTGGGAGGGGAAAACTTAGAGACAATAATACCTAAATAATGGTGGATTAGAAATTGTTTTAGTTGTATAATCAGTATTATAGAATGGGGACATTGTCCTGAAGGGGTCCTATTAAATCTCTTCTGCTTCTTTCCTAGGACAAGTGTTCCTGTTAAAAGACACGGATAGTTGTTGGCCAAGTGTATGTGAGAAGTTTCTTTGTATTGCCCTAATAAACAATTATACACACACATTGAATATTTATCGCAATATACTCACTATAGAGCTGGCAAGTTATGCCTTTTAGTTCCTCTGTGGATGTGACTTCTTTTCTATTCTCATTCTTTATTTTTAGCTGGCTAAGAGTATGGAGTCCAATGTTAAGCTTATATGCAGCAAGTTGTATCTTGATCAAATGTGTAATGGATATATAAAAGGTGTTTGACCAATATAAAATTACCTTGCCATATTACTTTATACTTAACATTATCTACATCAGGGTTATATAAAACAGATTACATATTTTGGTTAACTGGATTTTTTTAAAACTAAAGCTTGATTTAAAAATTAGGTCTGTATTTTGAGTCTATTTTCCATACATAACAGTAAGTAATGCATTTGAACGTAGCCTTGTTATGTAAAGGTAATAGCTGTGCATTAAATTGTGAATTCTGATGTATTATCTAGTCACCTTTTTTTTAAGAAAATTCCTTTCAAATTGAATAACTTTCCGGAAGAGTTCCTTTTTGTAGCCAGAGTTTGAATTGGGCATTTGGGTTTTTTTTTTTGTTTTTTTTCCCTCTGTCCTTATTGATGGAAAGGTAAGAATTTTAAGTATGAAGAATAGTAGCCATAGCTAGCAATGCTGAAATGTTTGTCAACCATCTATTTTGCAGAATACAGTATAGAGAATGTACATCTTTTAATATATTTTAAAAAATCCCATTCATACTTTACATTTCCAAAAACTGATTGTACCTATGTCTTTAATCACACTTGCTCTGAATGCCCAAACCCAATGTCTTGGCTTTGGTATTCCTTTCTTCCTGCTATTTTTGTTTTTCTTTCTTGTGTTGAAGTTCCAATTGTCTTCCATAAATTTATTTTGGCACAAAATATTTAAGAACATTAATTTCACTGAATGGTTTAGTTCGTTTACAAGTATGTTGATAATTATTGACATACCAGAAATTATTGATATTGATCCTCATAAATGTGATGACACCAACTTCATGTTTTAAGCATTTATAGTTTTAATGACTTTCATTGCATTATTGTGAAAAAAATAAACCATTTGAAACATGTTACCAAAATGTGTCTAACTCGAGCAAAGAATTTTCTGCAAATTTGTTAAATTTTGGTACTGAATGTATTTCAATTTAGCAATGTGTGACTTATAAAAAAATCTTAATGAATTGAATATCGGTTCTGTTTTATCTACCGATGTTATTACCTAAAATTAATAGGCGGGGCTGAATAATTGTGTTTACGAGTACTGAAATGTGTACCAGTATTTTAAAATATTTCATCCTTTTTAACCTTCTTGGAAATTAGCAAAAGTTGGAAGTGGAAATTGTGCCACTTTAGTTGTGAATAAACTTTTTTCAGGGGTAGGGGTGTTAGTGTAGGCAAAATGTGTTCTTTTTTTACTTCAATACCATTCCAAAAGTTGGTAATTGTGTGTAAACAATTATTTTATATTTTGAAGTTTTATTGCTTTCTCTTGAAAAGATTTATACAATACATACAAATACACGAAACACAATTAGTATTCTTGAAGAAATAATTAACTCCATTCACTACAGAATTGAATGCATTTTAGACAATTGAAGAATAAGCTAAATATCACTGCCTGGCTAAATGTAAATAAGATTTTCTGTTTGCAAGAGTGATTTTAATAATGGTAAAAATTACTGGACTAGAAACATATGAAATAGAATCATGTGTCATTCTGATAATTAAATTTGAATAAAATTCACCCAATTTGCCCAAAATAAAAAATACTTGAAGATTTTCACAAACGCTGCCTCATTTCGTTATTTACACTTTTTATAGTTAAGGTAGGGCTAAAAGCACCGAAACGCATGGCTACCATTTTGATTAAACTTGAGATTTTCCAAAATTTGTGTTTAGACACGTCTTGTAAAAGGCAATTAGCATCGGCGTCGTTGGTTCCCGGTCGGTCACCCATCCAGGAAAACGCGAAGTCTCGAATTTAACCGTGACTTCGTCTACTTAACGAATTTGGCTAGAGACTCAGGTTGTGGTCTTCCAGTAGAACCCTTCCATCATTCGCCTGAATGACCAAGACAAACCACGGAAACCCTAGTTAGGATAGCCGGCAAGGGGATTGAATCCGGGCCAAGGCCAACTACATATCAGATATAGTAGTTGGTCTCGCCCATTAAGTCATATAAACTAAAACCTATAAACATGTCAATTCTTCCTCTATTATTTTGCATGGTTAATTGTGTCAAATACTATTGAGATCTATAGTATTTCATTTTGTGGAGTGTAGAAATGAAGCGGTTGGTACTCGCCGTGCGCGAAAACTGGCTTCGAACAGCCCGCCACATTCGAATCGGCACACTGATCTACGTGCCACTAATGTTTAGTTCGAGAAACTCTGAAACCGTGTCGACTGGGTTTACTTATCAGTCTACTTTTGACTACGGCGACGTGTATTTTGCATGAAAATGCCGCGAAGTTACTGCAACGAAGAATACGCAGGCATAATTTATATTTATGGTTTTTGTGAACGGTACATGAATATCGCAGACTGTTTCCTAATTGTATTGTACAGAATAAGAGCGTATTAATTGTCGCCTTCACAAGGTTGCGAGGAACCGGTTCATTACCTACGACCTCCGAACGCTGCCTTTCTCGAGCTACGGAACAAACAACTGATCTTGTGATAGAAGCTGAAGAAAATCCATTAATCAATGTGAGAAGAGTATCTTCTCGGTGGGTATTGCGAAGAGTGCAGTGCAGAAATTCCTTCACAATAAAGGTTCGTATTATAAATTATGCAATGCGCAACACTTACTACCACAAGACAATGAATTGCGTATGCAGCGTACTTGGCTTCATCAAAGATCTCGTAATTGCAGACAGATATTATTCACAGACGAGACAGTTCACGAGAAATTGAATAATTATTTCTAGAAATAGTCATTTATGAGCTCCCGACCTTACTCCACTTTTTTTTTTTTTTTGTAATTTTTGGGGTAATTTAATAAGTCTAGTGTACACGCAAACGTTTGACGACAGAGCTGTTCTTGAGGAACCGGTCAGTATTGGAGCCAGCAACAGTTTCCGTTATATGACGGGCTGAGTTGTGCATCAAAGGAGGACATTTTGAGCATCTTTTGTAAGTACATCAGTGACTATTTCAAGTGCCACAGAAGACCAAGTGAATTCAGTTCTACCAAATGCTTCGGAAAGATCCAATTTGCACAATTATATTGCATTTCTATGATATTTCTTTGTAAACAAATGTATTCATTTCTTTTATAAATATTAAACAATTTATGTTTTTGGAGTGTTTCTATGCTTCTGCAATGCAAATTTTTGTCTAGAAAGCATTTTTTCAAACACTTTTGAGTGTTTATTGCGTCTTAGCCATTTAGAACATACAAGTAGTTTATTAGACAAAATATGCTTAAAATTGTCTTAAGAACTTATTTTTCAATTTTCAACGTTTCCTCCTTTGACACACACACACATGTTTCCTCCTTTTACATATTAACGTAACGTATTATTGTAACGCTACATTGAGCCGCCATCGCCCCCACGACCGCTCCCGCCCAAAGCTTTCCTTTTGTCGTCGCCTTCTGGGAAAG